TGAACAATAAGATTATTAAAAAGAGAATCCCTACGAAACATATCTTGAATTTTATCTATCCGTATTACAAGAGCCTATGTTTCAAAGTTATCTTTCTACCAAAAATTAAAGACATATGTTTTCTATGACATTTCATTTCAAAAAATGCTTTTAAGTAGGGCAAGTGGTTATTGACACGGAATTTCTGTTCTAACAGACAGACCAGACTTTCATTACACTTGCTGATTGCAATAACTATTAGAGGATAAGTTATGTAAATGTGACAAATATAATGTGTGACCTTTTATCAATAATTATTCTATTTGCAAGAAATCGGTAATAGCTGGATAGTACCTCAAGAAAGCCTGTAAGAAATGCCGAGACTTGACCAAAAATATGTTTAGATAGACGTAAAAACGTCCTATATATTCACGATTGTATTCGTAAATACATGACACTGAAGGAAGCCGAAAGGACAAATAAAGCATTTAATTGAATAAGTAAAACATATAATTGAAATTCACACACTATCCATTCGTTACATGAATTTATTAAGGGATTTAAGAACCATATGCTTATTTAAATATTTATTAAGGTCGCTTACCATAAATAAATGTATTACAACAGAAACGCAATCTCTGGAAAAAAACCAATATCTTCAAAATTTAAAAAAGCACACGTTGCAACCCGTTATAAAAGTCATTGAAACGGAACTTCTGTTCTAACATTACATTTGCTGATTGCAATACGTATCAGTTCTAAGATAATTTATGTCAATGTGACAAATATAATCTATTACCTTTAATCGATAGTTATTCCAACCACAAATTATATGAAGTTAATCATAGCGTGGTCCGTAAATGTAGATCATTGAAAACGGTGTTAAGGGAGACAACTGCTTTGAAGCGCGTGTCGTTATAATCAAGGGTAATAAAACCCGTCAAATTATGAGAAAGAAAATAATACGTGTATATTTATTTCTCTAACTGCGATTATTTGACTTTATCATGTTGAAACTGATTGATTCATTTTAATTTTATATTTAGATAATTTGAATGACTACTGTTACAGAAACAATGAAAACAATCTCCTTTTACCTCTACCAAACTATCGTTATCATTATACTTGTAGTGATTTATCACCATTTAAAACTTCAAAATTGATTAGAGTAACCGGTTTAAAAACAATTAAATAAATCTTGACCTGTGAAATTGGTGATGTAGGTAGAACAGAAAGGGTTAAAAGGATAGCCACAGACGCACGAATACAATTTTGACTTGATATTTAAATAATGTTAAAAATGCTTTTGCTTTTGATATTTGCTTTGATATTGCAGATACAAACAATAATTTCAATTGACCAGGTAAGATATTTGTTTATAATTGTATCATAGTTTGGAGACCTTTCTATTGAAAGTGTGCTAAATCGTATATGTTAGTTACCTGCACTCCAGTTACCGCGACAAAGAAGAGCATGCTCGTTAATTGGCTCATTTTTTCTAGAGTTTACTTATTATGACAACAGGGAAAGGGACAACGATAGAAAAGTCATATTCAGATGCTCGTGCATTGGTCACTCTTTTATTCTGGGGTTTCATATTGTGACGACTGGGAACGTGTTTATATTTTTGCCTAGGATATAAAAGAGAGAGAACATCGATTCAAAACACCCGGCAGTTTGATTTATACAAATTAGATAGCCTCGTTTTTCAAAGTTCTTTCTATAAAACTTTTTACGACGCGGTTCGTTGCTATGAAAATTTGACCGGAAGTCGTATTTTCTCGCGCTTGCACACTCTGCGTAGGACAAAGTTAGAACATCGCCCAACATAAAAATTTAGTGGAAGTTCATAGACAATTCCGACTAAGTTTAAGGTACAAAGTTGAAATTATATGAAATAGTTTTTAACAAAAACACAAAAGATTCCTTTATAGCTTTGTGGCCAAGATTAACATTGAAAGGCATGGAAAAGATGATTGTTTCAGAATTCCCCTTGCAATCATGGACCTGATATTGAGATGATTGTTGTAAAAAATGTGGAAATATATCTTTTAGAAAATAAAGATGTTGTTAAAATAGTTCATACAAAAACTTAAGATTTGTAACATATGAAATCGTGGTTAATTATCTTTTTGAAAAATGTCAGAACACAAAATGCAATTTTAAATTAGTTTTTAGTTTACCTAAATTTTACCTTTAACTGATTTGACTGTGATGCTGAACATGAAATATTTAAGTCACATAAATATATTTAAATATTTAAAGAAAATTGAGATGTTAAGATCGGTAGTGGGTAGTGAAATTTCACACATTTATCCTGTTCCTCGTAACAAATGTAAATACACGTAATAATATTTGTCACTTTACAAAATCAATAAACATTGATGAGATTGGTATATTTAAAAGTTACATAAATTACGATTTTCATAATTTTATGTGATTATGTCATTGAACTAAAAAACAGGGGTTAATAATTCTATCTTTAACACTCTGCTGTTTCAGCTTAAATTACTGAGGAAAAAGTCGTCTAGTGATACCTAAAACAGAAGACCTTTGTATGCTCTTTTTGATAATTGAATTAGTCCTGCACATTTACGTATATCTATTATAAATATTAATTTAAGTACTTACCGCTTTAATTCATCCCACCCAAAATTACTGTTTTCTGCGTGACATAACTTGAAATCTAATTTGTAGTCATCGTTGATTGCGTTTTTGCGAAATGCAACATCTGTTACTATGAAAAAGTTGTATCATGAAAAAGGTCTATTACTTAACACTCTTTTAAAAAAGGATGACAATAGCAATGAAGAAGAGAGTTCTTAATAAGATATCAAATATATAACTCATTTTTCAATATAGTGCATAAACTGAAATGATTTTTTTTCTTTGTTTTTGTTTTTGTTTGTTTGTTGTTTTTTTTTGTTATTGTTTTTGTGTGTATTTTTCACTGAGAATCGTTGCATTTGATTGATGTTAATCAAAACATTTTCATTCGCACGAAAAAAAAATTAATCAATCTGTGAGGAATATTTTATATCTAATCAAAACACTAAAATATTATCTCTGACAGTCATTAATCATGTTTTGTTGAGAAATTCATTTTTATTTCATAACCAGATTAAGATTTTACATTCCTTTACAAGCGCCATACTGACCAATAATTGGTAAAAAATTATTAAAAATCCACTCTATTGATATTTAATAAAATGTCTACCGATATCAAAGCACTGGAAGAACTTTGAGATCGATTATTTCTGTACCATATATGGTCAGAGTCCAACTGAGAAAGACACAGTAACTACAGTATTACTAGAGGGTATTTTGTATGTATAAATCACGTATGTATAAAACATTGGGCACAGTAGTCCCTTTATCGGCATTTTTTCAAACAGGCATTTTTTTCCAAATACTCATTGTCATGAGTAAAAAATATCTCATACATTTTTCTTCATCAGTGCCATTGTTTATTACAATCGATTTAGCTTTAAAAATGACAGTTTTAATTTCAAATAGACATAAAAATAGAAAATATCCCTGTATCCTTTAAAAAAGGAAAACAAAAAATAAAAGCTTTTCGTTTATAAACTTCAATAGTTAAGATTATCTTTGATGAAAGGTGTTCTTCAATTATAAAATACCATAGAAATAAATGAATGTGAATTTACGGAAAGCGTAGCAGTCAATATAAATTAATTTAACTGTAAAGCAACAAGCAGATTTATTTCAACTGGCGTTTGTCCTATTCTCGAGATAAGACAATTGACCTACTTTTTGAAGTTATATATATATAATCCACGAGCCACTGAGGAGTTTGTAGATATTGTAAATATATACTTGAAATGTATAATCTTCTTAACTGATAAGAAACCAATTATACATGATGCAAGTAAAAACAATTCATTAAGCCTTGTTATTGTGAGATAGAAGTTAATATCCATTTTTGGTATTCTTCGTCGACAATAAGTAATAAAAGACAAAAAGAACACCAAACAACAGCAAAAACAACAAACCCTTCTACAACAACAAATACATTCATTGAGCCAGACTAAAGTGGTTTTACAATAGTATATTTTTACTGCATTAATTTATAATTTATCTGACAATTTTATTTTACTTTAATTATTCAGAGAGAAGTATGTGACAGTCAGTTTTGTACAAATGGAACAACATGCACGTATAAAAACAAGTCAGGTGATGATTGTCAATGCATGCCGGTAAGACTTATTGTAAAAAAATGAGTAAACTTAAACTTATTTCTTTTTTTTTAAGAATTTTAAATTCCTTAAAATTCCTTTGTAGTCCAATGTTATGATAGGCATTAAAATGGACATTAATACAGAGAAGTTAGTTCTTATAAGGGGTTCCGGAAATCCATAGCAATCAGGATATATGCAAAATCTACAATATTTTTTCATCCGTCATAGCAAATATTAATAAGAAGATGTAAGAAAAAAGTTGATTCTCTGTTAGACAGAACAAACAATCTACCATCCATTTCAGTTTAGCTCTGTCCATAACAAAAATGTTTAACTACCTTATACATGTATAACAATATTTTCTGTCGGACCGCAGGTATTTCCATAAACTTAATTAAACTTATGGAATGTTGATATACTGATAAATTGAAAAACACGATTTGAATAAAAAACTTTATAGTACATGTATATGTTTGTTTTGCATGTAATATCTAAATATATTTCACAGAGTAAATGATATTTTACGGGTTGCGTTGTCAGCAGTAATATTATAAGAGCTGGTGTTACAACGAGTGAAATATAATTCGATCTTACATACAAAACAAATATATTTTTATTTATTCATGCTCTTTAAAGGGCTTAAATATAAATGCGGTCTCTTTAATATGATTTTATCAAACCATGACGTTACATGGTTGAAAAATAATCCTTTAAGATTTCACAAATAAAGATGTGTAGATCGTAATCTAGCACGTTTTACTCATGAAGGCAGGACAATAAGTTTATTCGTAAGGCATGTATTTCAAACGAGATTTCCACCTATTTAACCTAAAAAACATCCTTTTCATCTGCATTCAGATATATTCCGGTTTTTGTGAAAATTATTTCACCATGAAATTATAAACTAGATCTAGATCTATAATTTCACTGACCACTGTAAATCATGTAATAAATATTTAGTGTTATTAACCCTATTTGTCGTTCTGGTCTTTTGGTACTTATGCCAGAAACAACTGACAATTACAGGTCAACATAACTTAACAATTGTATGCATTTATATGTATAAATATTTTAAGGGTTATACTGGTTTAAACTGCACTGATATGAATGAATGTTCTGTAGGCATAGAAGATCCATGTCATCACAGAGGTATTTGTCATAACACGGTCGGAAGCTATAGGTAATTCGGATGTATGTCAAGATACTTTATGTATTTTAGACATGTGTTTTTGCTTGATATGCTATTTGATATTTGATAGAATAAAGTATTTTATATTTTATATTCCTTCAAAAAGAATTGATAAGAAAGGACATTTGGTTATTTCTTTAAGTAATTTTGATTGTTTCAAGCAAAACTCTATGATGGGCAGCTCTTTAAACATGTCGGGAAACGACTAGATACAAATATTAACGTCAATGATGAGGAGTGTCGCGCGTCTCAACTAGAACTCAAATTTAAGGTCAAAGGTGGGAAGCATATAAACTTTATTACTGATGTCTGAATAATAGAATTTTTAAAACTCAATATGGTTTTGAAAAATACTTCAACATTTTACCATCAGATTTAGCAATAGCGTTTTCAAATTTAGATGTATGAACCACAAAATGCCATTTGAAACAGGTAGATTTTTTAATTTGGATAGAAGTCTAAGAGTGTGTTGTTTATGTTCTAATAATCTGTTAGGTGACGAATTTCATTATTTATTTCACTGTTCCTATTTTCAATGCCTTAGAAAGACATATTTAGACAATTCATATTTTCATAGACCTAACATAATTAATTTTTCAAAGTTAATGAATAGTGAAAGAAAAAATGTTTTACTCAATTTAGCAATATTCTGTAAGAAAATTATGTTTGTGCTTAACAATACATATTGATATTTTTTTTTTCATTTTGATCTCATTCTCCGATTCTAAATTGTTAAGTTTTGTACATCATTAGTTATAAAGATCGTTGACAGGTTATATGGCCCTATATAAACGGCTATGTATGTATGTAATGTATGTATGTATGTATGTATGTATGTATATTATATATATATATATATATATATATATATATATATATATATATATATATATATATATATATATATATATATATATATATATATATATATATATATATATATGTATAAATTTGTATTCTGTTTTATTCTATTTTGTTCTCTTTTTAATGTACATAATTATGTTGATAAAATTGCCATGGTTTCATTTTAGTTATGTATCACTTTACTTTGTTTTGTAATAATTTGTTATATTGTTGTTTTTCTCACATGCCCAGTTGAGCCTTGAGATATCAATAAAAACTTGATAATTAGTCATAGATTTATCGATACTCCAGTAAGCCATATTATGATTTCACTGGAAGTTTAAATTTTATAATAAAGCCTACATGAAATTGATTTTCGAATAGAGGATATTGAATGAGTGTAAGTTCAATACTGAATTTATTGCACGAGTTGAATAAAACTATATTATGCGAGCCTCTGGCGAGAATAATATTATTTTATTCAACAAGTGCAATAAATTTAGTAATGAACTTACACGAAATTAATATTCTATTTATCACGTACCCGAAATAAAGAACGTTTAAAGTGAAATAAGAGTCATTTTTCATTGACTCAACTATAGTATAACGCTAACATTTAGCGCGTCTTTACACTATGTTTGTATAACGCTAATGACGTCACGTCAAAATATATGCACGGCCGTGCAATGCCATTTTTACGGAGTTGCAAAATCGGCACGGGTGTGTGATAAATAGAGGATATTGAATGAGTGTAAGTTCAATACTGAATTAATTTCACGAGTTGAATGCAATTTTATTCAACGAGTGCAATAAATTAAGAAATAACTTTACACGAATTTAATATTCTATTTATCACATACCAAAAATAAAGATCGTTTAAAGTGAAATAAGAGTCATTTTACATTGATGCGTCTATAGAATAACGCTAACATTTAGCACATCTTTACACTATGTTTGTATAACGCTAATGACGTCACGTCAAAATATATGCATAGCCGTGCAATACCATATTACGGAGTCGCAAAATCGGCACGGGTGTGTGATAAAATGTATTACATAAGAGGCTTTTGTGGAAAGTTGAAAATCTAATTTATAGTAAGATATCATTAATTGATGTAACTATAAAATTTATCTCATTGTTAGTTGCATGTGTCTTTCCTCTTGGAATGGAAGTCATTGTGAGCAAAAAGTAAAAAGCGAAATTGAATGTTTACCAGGCTATATTGGAGATGAATGCGAAAAACCTTTATGTAAACCTGGTTATGCTTTAAACAATACTGGTTCAAGCACGAATTACACGTAAGTTAAAATCAAACTTTATTAATTTATTCTTTAAAAAAAAAACTTTCAATTAATAATTAATAATTATAATATAATTAATAAACGATATTCGAATATAACCCTTTTATACTGTGAGCATGCTTAGGATATGAATGATTTTTAAACGAAACTTAGGTACTTGAATAAGAGTTGTTCAGCCTGAATGTCCCCTGTTGACTGAATTTGCCGTCAAATAAATATACGGAAGCCCATAAGTGCTATTTTGTCTTAGGAGTTTTGTCTTATGACTAATGACTTGCGTATTGTGACTTTTGTCTTATGTATTATGACTTGACAAAAAGCGGCAAAAGGGCAAGTTTCATCACATGCACCCATCATGGACGTTAGAGGTAAATCTCATAGTGAAACAGAAGACGATTTGGTAAGTGTTGAAATTTAGAAAGTATGACAGAACTGTATTTCTCCTTACTTGAATAATTATCTCCCATACAAGGTAAGGTTTCGAATAGAGGTCATCTCAGATGAAAAAGTAGGTCACAGGGCACAACAAATGCGTTAACTGTTAAAGTTTAATTATCAAGATATTTGCAAGACTGACACATTTTTAAAACATGTGTGAAACAAACTTTATTCTGTATAAAATATAAATTATTTCTCCTTCAGGTAAATGCGAGTAGTAAACAACGCGAGAAGTAAACATATTCATGCACAAGTTCAGAACATAGCAGGCCATTAAGAAGAACATTGAAAAAGATTAACTTATAGAGATCCATTGATGATAAACATATTGGACATTCATCTTCTACATGTGACTCTCTTTACAAAGAAAAATACCAGAAATCGATTTATAATTTATCAGAAAAGTACAAAGCCAAATGTGCCGAATGATGATATTTTATCAAATAAATTCTTGATAGTTCAACAGTATATGTGAATATATGAAATACTGAGGAAACAAGAACCATATTTTTTTAATTCCAAATATATAATTGTCAATTTAATACATATCACATAAGACATAATACAAAAGTCATTATACATAAGACATAATACAAAAGTCATTATATATAAGACATAATACAAAAGTCATTATACATAAGACATAATACAAAAGTCATTATACATATTTAGTAATACATAAGACATGATACAAAAAAATGAAAATAAAAACTGACAATTTAAACATCAAAATGTTAGATAAATATGTATGCCTTGGTGTATTTTCATTAAATTATACTTAATATCCTTTTTTACAGAAACAGCTGGTCCTGGGAGGCATTTCACATATAAATTACAGTTTGGACGACTTTATGAAATTCGCAGAAAATTTTGACAAGTGACGGAGAGAAAGAGATGCAAGAATAAATTTTTAATGCCAAATGAAGATATATCAAATCAAATCTTCAAAGATACTTTAAATCAATAGGTGTGTTTCATCGCAGTACTATTTATATTTTAAAAAAGACCCCAAAAGCTAGAGATTGAAGGTTGAATGCTCCAAAATCAACAGCTCATAATAGCTTTCCTGAGCTTTAAAAAAAAGTGTATTTCTATAATTTTATTGTATTAATGACAAAAAAAGATGATTAAAGATCTAAGTTAAAACAAAATAAGTTGATTTTTTGTTTTATTATCATCGTGAAAACAGCATAGTTTTCGTAGTTTAGACCTACCGGCCATATTGTATATATTGTATAACATTTTTGTAATACCACTGTGACGTCAATGCTGTTTAAGATTGTTGGACAATGGTTAAATTTACCATTGGCTGAATTAAACCATTTCCATAACGGACAAATTGTTTCAATTGCAATTAAAAGATAAGATAATAACATCAATTTTATTTCTTTTGAATTTATTGCATGTCTTGATTTTATAAAGGATATAATTAATTGCACACAAAGACGCATGTTTTTATTTTTTATTTTATCATATTTCTTTTAAAAAAAACTCTGTATGAAAATACACTCTTAATACCTACTTTACAGTTGAACAAGAATAAAGTAAAAGTACACATAAACAACTTCGTCAATAAGTTTTAAGAAGTTCCCTGTACACTTCAAGTGTTCCTTGTACATCCAGTACATCCATGGGAGTGCGAAGGTTAGTCTTTAGTAATATTGCTAACTCTTGAATTGCATTAAGCCCTGCGTCAGCCGTACATTTTGCAACAAGCATCAAGATCATCTTGATCTACAATCTTTCCATAATTGTGTCCACCAAATTGTTCCGTCAGAAAGTAAATTAAATCGCGTTTACTATTTGGTATCTCAGGACTCTTTTGTTTATGTATGGTTAGTAGAATTCAATTCACCGCTTTTTTGTGAATCTCGGCCTGAACCAAGTGAATGAAACATAATTTCAATCATTCACATCACCATACTCGTGACTGTCTTTTTTCATCTCTGCAAAAAATAGAAAATCCACCATTGAATTCATTGACTACGTGTGGTTCCCCTTCATAGAAACGTTTTTTTTTTTTTTCCGGAAATACAACTTCTATAGGATTGGACATATTATTTGTATCATTGTACCGGAAGAACAGTTAGAGTAAAGGTCGAATGTGTTGAGATTTCCGTTCCTTTAACATAACGGAGTATTTGTGTAGCAATGCTAAGCGTCTCCAGTGCTTCAAGATAATACATGGCGATGACTGCACGGTTGTTGTTACCTTCGACACTTCAAGTCTTAGTATCCTAATAGCACCATGTATGCAAAAGTCATATGGTTTCAGTTTATTATGACCATCTTCGTGTTAAACATTAATTGAACTTTTATTATTGTGCTTTTCATTATGTGGGCTTCCAGCAGGGCTGTCAATGTTTCAGATATGTTAGAAGGTGTTACTTCTAAAGCAATCTCAACCTGTTGTATCCCAGACAAAGCCACGTGCTATGAAATGCAAACATATTCTTTAAAGATATCTGAAAAACAAAGTACATTAGCTATTAAACTATTATTCATAATTCATAAGATGACAGACAGATTATTTATATGTAATGTATTAAAATGCTGCAGTATAATGTATCTTGTGAAATTTGTAGTAGTTTCATTTTCGTTTAAATGAAGCCATAGTTGCTAGGAGATGAAAGCTTGAACGTAGACGGAGTTTGGTTTGCATAGAGCAATATCGGCTTTTTTGTTGGTATGAAGGTAGAATCTATAGCTAACTTGTTGCTACGGAAGCCAATTAGGTTGCATCTTTATTAAATTGTAACTAAACCAAAGTAATTAATTATGACTAGATTAGAAATATTCAGCTAAGAATTTAGGATTTTTGCTTTGTTTTGTTCTAGTTTAGGGCAATTGAACAGTATTTCAGTCATATAACTAGTGTCCCTGGATTCTGTACCAGTACTAATATCTTCTCCACAAGCTAAGTGGGCAGGATATCAGTAATAAGATGGTTTTTTTTAAAGAACAAGAGCATCAAAAACAGGTCCTGAACACTTACAATTACTTGATGCTTTAAAAGGAAATTAAAAGCGGCATAACTCTATAAAGGCATAAATGGAATCAAAGTTCCAAGTTGTTATGCATACAATAATGTCATAAAGTTTTGGAAAAATAAAACAGATGCGAGGAGGAGTTACGTTTACAAAGGAAAGTATTTTACAAAATCAGGCGTCTCGTTAAAACATTCTTTTTCAAGCCTGTACAGTAGTTGTCATTTCATAAACAATATAATTATGTAAAACTGTTCACAATTAAACACTTACCAAAGAAGTCTTCTTTTCTCACTTTTTTGTACTCCTTCTGTACGCCGCAATGGCTGCACGTAATGAAACTGGTCTATTTGCCGCCTTTTTTTAGTTTACATCTGACATAAGTCATATATGGCATAAGACAGAAGTCATAATACATAAGTCATCAGTCATAAGACAAAACTCCTAAAACAAAATGGCACTAATGGGCTTCCGTATAAATATGATTTACACATTGCTTAAGAGGTAACACCGAATGTGTGAATGTAGCATCGGGGGAATGTGCCTGAATCACATAACATTTGTCTGCTTTACTTTAATATGTCATGCCACTATAGTACATGTAGTTCGAAAATCTAAAACGATATACGTTATTTTGCAAATAAATATCGACAAAACACAAAAAACCCTGAAAAATAGCCGGCTTGTCATTGTCTTAAATGATCTTTAAAAGCAAATACTTTCTAAGACATATTTATACTTTGGGTTAAAATATATGTTTGAGCGGCCGTATAAACTCATTTATTTGTTACAATTTGAATTACAATAAAATATTTCGGTTCATTTATTAACTATGCTGTACGTTTCTTCAATTAGGCTTTGCTTTTTGCACAAATCTGCTGTGTTATAAATAGACCTATACTTGTTTTTTAGATGTTATTGTGAAAAAGGATGGAATCACACTCATACTAATGTTCCATGTGACAAGGACATAGACGAATGTAAACTATATCCGAATATATGTAAGAATGGGGGCAGCTGCAGCAACACTAATGGTTCATACATATGTTATTGTATTGAACCATGGGAAGGTGAAAACTGCACATTTTATAATGCATGCAGATCAAATTCTTGTGCAAATCAGGGAAAATGTGCTAAAACAGGAAATGATACCGACAGAACGTATAAATGTGCATGTCAACTTGGTTATAAAGGTGAAAGCTGTACTTTGGACGTTGATGAGTGCTCTCTTAAGACAACTAATGAATGTGTACATGGAAATTGCTCCAATAGTATTGGTTCGTACAACTGTACATGCGAAACTGCATGGACAAGCAAAACTTGTAACGAGACTATAGACATTACTGTCACGATTGAACAAACAACCAAGGTCAGACCAGAAATAAGAACTACTGAAATTTATAGACCTTCGTCTAAAATAACCCGTGGAAAAACATACAATCAAACTGCGATTAACAAAACAACAACTAAAATGACGACGTTAAAAAAAAGGAAATACAACGGAAACAGCAACAAATGACACGACTGAACAAACAACCAAGGTCAGACCAGAATTAACAACTACTGAAATTTATAGACCTTCTTCTAAAATAACCCATGGAATCAAATACGAAACATACAAACAAACTACGGTTACCAAAACAACAACAAAAATGACGACGGTAAAAACAACAAATACAACGGAAACAGCAACAAATGACACGACTGAACAAACAACCAAGGTCAGACCAGAATTAACAACTACTGAAATTTATAGACCTTCTTCTAAAATAACCCATGGAATCAAAAACGAAACATACAAACAAACTACGGTTACCAAATCGACAACAAATAAGACGACGATAAAAACAACAAATACAACGGAAACAGCAACAAATGACACGACTGAACAAACAACCAAGGTCTGACCAGAATTAACAACTACTGAAATTTATAGACCTTCTTCTAAAATAACCCATGGAATCAAAAACGAAACATACAAACAAACTACGGTTACCAAAACGACAACAAATAAGACGACGGTAAAAACAACAAATACAACGGAAACAGCAACAAATGACACGACTGAACAAACAACCAAGGTCAGACCAGAATTAACAACTACTGAAATTTATAGACCTTCGTCTAAAATAACCCATGGAATCAAAAACGAAACATACAAACAAACTACGGTTACCAAAACGACAACAAAAAAGACGACGGTAAAAACAACAAATACAACGGAAACAGCAAATGACGGCAGTCTTGCAATGAAAGAATCAAAAGACGGATTGCCAATTATTGTTGGAGCTAGTGTTGGCGGAGTTATTATTGCAGTTGCAGCTGTTGTTGGTATCTACCTGTACAAAAGGTAACATTTAACTGATTTTTCCATTATCTTCACAAATTTTCTTTGCAATTCATGATAAATTCATTTAATTAATGTTCAATACACAGAATTAAAGTTTTAGTATCACTGGTTTAATATGTATAAATTAACAATTAAACAATAAACAAGGTATTTTGTTTGTTTGATTGATTGGGTTTTACGTCACACCGATACAGTATAGGTCACTTTACCAGCTTTACTGGTGGAGGAAGACCTCGGGTCCCACTCTGTGCATTATTTCAGGCACGAACGGGCACCTGAGTAGAACCACCGACGTTCCGTAAGCTAGCTGGATAGCTTCTTTACATGAAAGAATCCAAGTCCCAGTCAGGATTCGAACCCACAGCGGTGAGGAGCAAGTGGTATAAACAAGGTATTTACCAATCACTGTGTATAGATAAAATGTTTGCAATGACTTACCGTTTACATTTTATTGTATCATGACCGCCGTTTACTTTTCTTTGCTTAAGATATAATACGCTCATTATTGATTAAATTATTGTAATCTCAGAAATTTATTGAAATCTATGAAATTCTTATTGAATATGCCTAATTTGAATAAAAAATTAATAAACTTTGTATTGGTAGCTGCGTTCCATATTACATGTCAAGCCAGTTTTTTAATTACACAATAGATTCATATTGTTAGCAACTATAGTGTAGAGGATTTTAAACATAACATAATAAAGTGAAAACATGTTTATTATAAATTTACAAAAGGACTGTGTAGCAATCATCAATATTTTCTAATATCATGTTTGAGCATACTATATCTTTAAAGAACAGAGAATGATTGCTTATCTTATCTTGATATAAAAAAAATAAAATTTGAAATCAAAATAGTTTTAATTCATAAGGAAATTGTGAGATAGTCGACAACATCGGATATTATGTGACAGAGGCCATGTCTTGTCAATTATCTTGATATATATAGATCATGTGTCTACGTAAACACACATTTTCTTATTTAAGAATTAGAAGTGAATGTATCATTTATAAGCGAAATGAATCCCATAATTGCGTGTGCAAGGGTTATATAATGTTGCGTTGTTCAATTTAAGTGGGACTTTCGGAGTAACCTGGATTACTTTTAGATACACGTTCTAATTTCTTATTCAATTTAAGTAGATTAGACATTTGAGAAGAGACAACCTTTCCTATTAATAGGAATTTGAAAAAAGTGCCCAATGCCTTTCATAGTGCACTGTATATAATATAAGCACATATACAATTATCTTATCCGAAACTCTAATTCTATTGTGTACATAGAAGTTAATTTGTTTATTATTGTATCCATTGAGTTTTTCTTATTTATTATTTAGGAAACGAGCAAGGATTGCCTCGGAAGATATAACAGGAGACACAGGGAGGAATGAAAAGTTTAACATCGAGCGAATTTTCAAAACCGACCGTGTTGCACCGGAGAGCACCACTGACGTAAATTCATTTACTTCTGAACATTGAAACCAATTCAAACCGGTGCTTATAGGCCTGAGATATATTGCACTTGCCATTGTCTCAAGTTCAAAGCCCGTATGTCATGTGGACTCCATAGTGTGTTTATCATTTGAAAAATGAGATACTAGTTTAAATTGCTTCAAAAGGCTATCATGGTCTGTTATTGAGTACACCAAATATCTTATATGTATGTTCATCTTTTATTTTTTATTTCACACAGTATCATTGGCATCATTTAAGGTATATTTTGTTGTTTTTTACTGGTAAGAAAATGCATAATTTGTTTTCGTACTTTTATGTTAACAAAAGATGTAAAAGGGAGTATCTACAAAGTAACTCATACATTTAAATTACTCCTCGCTTGTTATGACATATGTAAACTACTTGCTCATATACATCGGTATTTTACTTACGTTTAAAAATCATTTAATATCATTAAGACTCATTATGCCTCAGAAATCCATATTTTTCTTCTTTTTTTTAGGAATGTCAAAAATGTTATCAATTATTGTTTAATAACGGATTTAGAGCATGTTAGATGTTTATCAACTGCAAAAATAGCACTGAATATGCAATGATTTGTCGTAAAGGTAGCAAAATGTAAACAATGTATAATTTTGACTTTTATTAAAAATACTTATTCAATATAACAATATAACGTTAGTCATACCACTTGTCAACAGAGGAAAAGAAGTAAACGATAGTTAAACTGTTAGGTAAATGATATTTTAACTGTAACAAGATACAAAATTTAACATGTTTTCAGAGATAAAAATGATATCATAATGGGCCTTTAATGTATATTCATTCATTCACTGTATATTTTGTCTCATACACCATTTCTTTCTTCGCATTTTCACAAAAGCAAATTTCATTTGCTTTCTTACATCATACGACATCCCAGGTGATTATTATCCATTTTACATGTTATTGTTTTGAATTCAAATTTCGCAACAAATACAGAACAAATTTAAAGTTTAAGATACTAGTTAAAGATTTTTTCATATTTGTTCAAAATTGCAGCTCAAATAATCTAATGAATTTAAAACAATTGTAGATATACTGATTATTTCCAGAGCAAGATAGAAATTTGCTAAGGCCAGATATTGAAAATGTTCACTATGACATAGTTAAGAAGTATAGATGTTTTGCTTGCCAAAAACTGATTCATGCAAGTTAATATTGCATTTTTTTTCTTAATTCAAAATAATAATAAAAAATAGTTGGTTTATATTTATAATATAATTAATAGTTAATTTTCTTACATTCCACCAGACTCATTAGTTGATCTAGGATACTTTAAGGTACATGTTACTTGGGCATAATATCCCACTAACGTGTATTTAAAGTCATAATTTAACACAAACTGTTTAAAAATAGTAATTTAGCTGATATCGATAATGAGTATATATGTAAATCCGATATAATTCTTCTCAGGAATGTGATCAGTTTCTATTCTATGTACTAGTTTAAAGTTTCATTTCAATGAGAAAGCTGAGGGTGACATAGTTTATTCACTCGTGGATACTACAGACCGGTGATAATATTATTTTAACTGCTATGGTACATACCTGTCATCAAATACACGAGGGCAGTCACCGTATTTCATCATAATAATAGTAATGTCGAAGAGACAAATGACGTCACGATGCAGCACTTTAGGCACCTACTACCGGGAATACAGACCTTAGGGAAACCAATTTATGAACATGTAAATTCATATGTATATTTTTTTGAAATCATATTATTGAATTGTGAAGACGACTTTTTATTAGTTTTATGACTGAAAAAATAACGTCATGTTGAAATTGTCGTAATACATTATATAGAAATGTACATACATGCATCGTCAAACACATATCTTTGTTATATACATGTACATTCAATTCGAAGTTAAATATTCGAAATCTTAGCAACGTATATTTAACCGAAACTTAAAAGTACATAAAATGTATAAATGTTGCAAGGAAAATTGTTCAGTCAATATTAAATGATACGTATTTGCTCGATTTGTCGCCTTTTTGAATGTTTTGTTGCAGGTACCACAAAAAGTATCCTAATTGAAATTAACCTTGATTGCTATAGCAAATAATGGACCAGGTTTATGTTTCGAGTTTCCTTGCTAATTTTCAACTAATATGTGCATATCGACATTACTTAATTTAAGCTGCATTAACATGTTAAATGACAGTTTCGGCTATAAGGTGAGAGCTGTAGTGCTATATCCAGGCCGTACATTTGGTCAAAATGTTGCAAAGTCACCCCTGAGATTTCTGGTTCGATCCTGGGTAACACCCTTGGGATTTTTCAGAAATACTTTCAGTGTTTCTCATCTAACTAGAGGTTTACTGGTACGAAGCCCAGGTAATCCTCGCATGTTTCAGTGCTATACACTTGGCATGTAAAATAAATAAAAGGAATTTATTCAATAAGAGCTAAGGACTGGTCCCGAATTTCCTTGTATCTCATAGCTGTCTCTACATTCTGCTGAGGTAAGGACCCTACTGGAAATAAGTGCTTGCACTTTCGTAGGTTATCCTTGACCGCCCGGTCTAAAGAAAATCAATCAATCAAAGTTTTTAGATTTCGAGTATCGGTCAGCACTGACGAAGCACATCATTATCATCACTATAAACCCTTCTGTACTAGTATCGGGTTTTTACATTTCTCCTCGAGGGATCTCGATATCCATAGCAACATCAGATCGTATGGGTGTGACTGTTGCTTTGTAGACATTGCTCCTAATCCACATAAACCTTACTTAGTTAAGCTATGTTAACAAAGTTACTTCTCTAATTATCACATGACCGACTCCGTGTCACAACTCACTGCTCAAGAAGATTGTCATGCTGGGCTTATTTGATCTGTGTTTTGGGATAGTTAATGACATTGTTTTGACTCCCATGATGAATGTGTTGATATTCGTGACCTGTAGTTAATCCGTGTTTCAACAATATAACAAGTGCTTTCATCCAATCATACAATTTCTGTTTAAATTGCTATTAGAAATGATATAATACATACTTAAAACAGGTCAACCGGTTTATAATGATAATTTATGAAAATATTTGTTTAATAAGTACAAATTATCATTTATTTCAAGAACATATAAGTATTACAAAAATTGATTTTTGAAACATTGAAATATCTTATTAATCTCAAATGTATAACGTTTTTTTTCTGTCGCTGCTATTCACACTTAAAGTACTGATAATGGGATTTCAAAGTTTGATAAGACTTACTTAGGGTTGAGATAATGTTTACGCTTATCATTTAATACGTTAACGTAAATTCTTGAGGTGAAAAGCTGTATACAAAAAATAATAATATTCATTACATAAATACGTAACATATGTTTTAATACATAGTCATTTGTACAACGTAAGAGGAAGACAATATAAAATTGGTATTAAGTTATACAACCTTTAGCTTCAAAAACTAATTGGCAAATATAAAAAAGTAACATTCAATGTAACACTGTTCTGGCAGTTTCTTTTTTTTCTCATAAGTAAGGGATTCAACTTTGATTTAAATAATAAATAGTTCATTTCTGAAATGATTATACCCGTTTTGCGTTCTGTTTCTTTAAACTATCATTTTGACATACTCCTCGTGCCCCAATGTGTTGTGAAAACAGAAAATATTAGTGTTATAATATACCATATAAATTCATATACTTTCTTTAGGTGCCTTCTATTAAATGACACTCAGTAGTGAATATAACATACGTATTCTCAAGTTATAGATAATCATTGAATTATTCAAATTGTCAGTAATAAAAAAAAGGCACTATTCAAATTGTCAATAATAATATAATGAAATCTTACCTAAAATTAGCCAATTTATCGATGATTTATTGACGAGTTATTGGCAAAAAATCTTCGGGTGGGTCAAGCGATTCATATGGTATGATAATGTCATTTTGATCTTTTGTTGCGACATAATGGCGGTATCAATAAATGTCAAGTCATAAATATAATGGCACGAGATCCAGGCATGAAATTTCACAAATGTTTAAATAAAAAATATTGTTTTCAAAGATGACATTACATTATAATCTGTGCGAATATATACAATAGAAATTGTTTATCATACATCAAGTCATTAAGTGGCATATACCCCATAAAATGTTGCATAGGGTAAATGTGAATAATTTACTGTTCCAAAATCAAAATTCATCTCTTAAGTGTGAATAGTTTTGTTTTTATGGTTATTTGAAGGTCATAAAATGATGAAATTAAAATACCATCAACAATAAGAATATGATCGAAGTTCCAAGACGTGGTTTTTAAAAGCTACTTTAAAATCTTGTTGTTCATCTGAAAAGAGGTGCAACTTATTCAACATAAAGTCTCTGTCATATGAAAAAAATTTAGTGTTGCACTGTAGGAATTTTTATTACATGTTTGAAACAAAAGTATTATCCAAACCAGGGGCCGTATTCATAAAGAATCTTATGATAAAGAATCTTATGAAGTGAAAAAATTTCCTCTTAACTCGAAGTTTTCCCTTAAAACTTAGGATTCTTTATGAATACGGCCCAGACATTTATATTGTCTAACAGAAACGAAAGTGTCCCAGGTCATAGGTCAACATAGTATTATATTTTTACAATATACATGTAGTTTGTTAAGTTAGCCTTTTGAGAATTGCATGCTAAATATTCTCGTTAGTTTTTGGGGTGTTTTTTGTGTTTTTTTTTGTAAGGGAATTTAGTTTGTCATATAATTTATGTTGTAACGTTGTATTAGGTGTAGACAAATTCTAGTTACTGGCGACTGATACTTGGTACTTCTTTTTTGTAAATATATCCAAGAATTAACTAGAATTTCAAATTGGCCAAAAATCGGACTTTAAGACCAGAAATATCAGTAAAAATTAGATATTACCAATGTCATTTTTAGAAGCAGCAGTTTGAAAAAACATATTAAAACTATTTTGTTCAATTGAAAATCCAAAAATCATGAATAATTCAAGTACGAGATCGTTCTCCTGAAACTTCAAGACAATTTTCTAACATTCTGTCGGAGTACACACAGTATTTCAGTATTTGATGCCACGATGATTCCACAATTTATATATTATAAATTATATATAATAATATTATATATATAGATTTAAAGAAAGGAACGTTTCTTTCGGATTTGTTTTCATTCCTATATTATTGTACAGTGCAACCTCCTATAACAGCCAGCAGCCGGACAGTCCAAAAATGGCTGGTGTAAAGACATGGCTGTTTCACAAACGGTTATATATTACGGGTGGAACTTTTATTAGTTTTATAATGACGAACACAAATGTAGTACAGACTTATAACGAATAAGACAAGGAACATATTATGATCATTAAACCTCCAAATCTTTCTATTGAACGTGGATTTTATAAATTGTATTCCTTATTTAAAACAGTCATTGGATGCGAATAATAATCATTTATCTAGGCCATATTTTGTAAAGATCTAGCGTCTTTTATTTTCATCGTCGTTCAATATTCGTAAACTGAGGGCATTATACTAATTATACACATAAGTTTGTTCTGTGATATTTGAGAAAGAAGTTTACATTCAACAATATCGTTGTATTTGTATTACTTTAAGATATTTTCATTTGTTTTGTTATGTGTTGTTTTTTCTCCTTTTTTCTTTCTTTAATTTTTCTTTTTTTTTCCTAGCTGATTCTCACTTGAGTAATGTTTAATCACCCTAAGGATATGTCGCCTGCTTTAAAGTTGTCTCTGCACAGCTTGTCTGTCATATGCAGGCTTCATAACCTCTGATCCACTTCCAAAATTTCATTTTATTTTCTTTCGTCTATATTTTTTACTTTATATATACTTTTACTCATGAAGTGGCACAAAATTTATATGTCACATTGGAGGTTCCATGATAACAGACGTATGAACACATCTGCGGATGTATCGAATTGTCTTGTTGAATGATGCCTGCTTAAGCCGGTTCTAAGGGCATGGATGGTAGCTTGTACATTCCAATGCCGTTCATGAACGGTCTCATTTTTTTTAACTTTGCCGTTATGTACGTTCTTTATGGACTCTGTTTCTCTTTATTTTCCCATTGAAATATATGAATTTTGGTCGGTCCACTCTGTGTTTGGCCCTGTATGTTACTATATCAAATAAGTGGCATCATGACTACTTGCTGTAATGCAGAACGACACGTTCTTTGTTTCAATAACTTTAAGCTTTAACACTATGTAAGTCAATCGAGACCCAAGAGTAGTACAGAACTGACTTAGAAAGGATGCAACATATTTAAGCTGGGTTTACCACGGCTGAGTATATTATCAAGATACTTTTTTGTTTTAATCTGATACTCAGCTGTTGATGTGCATATATCACATGACAAGAGGTTACAACAATGCAGTGATTAACAGTCCGTTCTTTTTTTAAAACCCGATATTATTTTTGTTAATATACTGTACTCAAATTTTATATTAAAAACTGCGGATAATAACTACACAGTGAATATAAAATAAACATGTTTTGTCTTCACAAGCAGAAGGTTTTGTTATGTTTATAATTCTACGCACTATAGGAGGTCACAAGATGAATACACAGTGTCGTTAAAGACTTGCAGTTTTTTTTTAAAAAGAAGAAAATACCCAGTTTACATGACCTTCCAATACAAAGTTTATGCACGCTTTTATTCAAATTAGATATATTCAATGTGGATTTTATAGATTTTAATAAATTTTGGAGATTACAATATTTTTTTCTCAATGATAAGCACAATATATCTTTTTTAAAAAAAACCTACGTTATCCGATACTCAATACAAAAAAGCTCCTAAATCAATTTTAGAAATTTGAACCGCCATTGTAGTATCTGAAATAAAACTGTCATCTTTGATTGAAAAGTAAGAATGTAAATTATAGATAAACTGATTTTTTTTTTCAAATTATATTTTCAAAATAAATATTGAAAAATAAAATCCTTTGTTAAAGCTTCTCAAGGCGAGTTTGAATCTGAATAGCTTGATTGTTTTCTTTCTTCTTTTTTATTTTTCGTCTTCAAAAAAATCTTCTTTTGTCCTTTATTTAAAGACTATATTTAGAGGGTAGTTTAAGTTACAGAGTTATTAAAGGTTACAAAGCTCGTATCTTAAGCAACCATTGTGTTTTGGGTAAGTAAAACTGCGAGCAACACAGTTGAAACCTCAGTGTGGCAAAGTTTTTTATTGGGAAAAAACGATAAAATTTAATTTTCTTGTTTTTTTTGCTTTATCTCGGGGTTTCCCTGTCGCCATTCTTTTTTTGGGCGCAAAATTAAAGGGTAAGTTTTGTCTTTTTTTTTTTGGATAACTTTTTTTAAACAATATTCCAGATATTTTTTTTAAAAGGGAATTTTTGTTAAATTTTTTTAAGCACTTTTCATTTAATTTATAAAACAATTTAAAGGTTTGGGGGTTTTTATGCTTTTAATTTAAGTTTATAAAATATGTAAAATTTTAAAGGGACTTCATGGTAAACAAAAAATTTTTCAAAAATATTTTTTAAAAAAAAATTTTTTACAAATTTTCCTAATTTTTTCAGGTTTTTTTAATTATTTTTTCAAAAATTTTTTAAATTCCCAATTTTTTATTTTTTTGTTTTTTTTTTTTCCCTTTAAACAAGTTTTTTTGATTTTTTTAAATAAAATATACTATTCAAAACGGGGACCGAAAAACCCAACAAATTATAAAAGGTATATGTTGAGTCGGCTAGAATAGAGACCTTAGTCATAGATCTTGTTTTGTGGCTTGTATTTATTTTTTTAATTTTTGTTGTTTATATTATTATTATTATTATTATTATTATTATTATTATTATTATTATTATTATAGTGGAAATGTATAATAATAAAGAAATATACGATCAGTATATGATAAATTTCAAGGAAGGATTAACGATAGTTTCAACACAGTACCGCCATTTATTCCATAGTATATAAAGAATATTAAGTTGTTGTTTTTTTTTTCGACAGCTGAACGAAAAAGCGGACACTGGAGAGGCGGGTAAATTATTTGTTTATTCTCTTCTTTTTTTTCCTTTTAAAAATTTGCTAAAATGTTGAAAATAAAGATAGCATTAATTTTTTTTTTTTTTTTTTTTTTTTTTTTTTTTTTTTTTGGGGGGGGGGGGTTGCACCAACGCAGTAAATGTCATATGATGAGTTTTCACCTTACCTTGTGGAGAAACCCCTCACTGTCTCGGGCCAGAGCGGACACCTGAGTAAAACCACCGACGTTCTGTAAGCTAGCTGGATAGCTTCCTCATATGAAAGAGTCCAAATCCCTGGCGGGATTCGAACCTACAGGGTGAAGGGCAAGCGGTTTTAAGTCAAATCGTTTTGTGTTAGGTGTATGTATAATGCAATATTGACAAAAAAATACATAATATTCAGCAAATTATATTTAATGCAAAAAATTGTTTGATATCAAACAAAATAAAATACTAGTATGTAAAATTCTAATAAGAAACTTAAGGCATCAAGGTGTGTGATATTATGTAATATGTTTCAATTTCATTTTAGCAAAGAGAGAACTGCTGAGAAACAATCTGAGTAAGTATTGCTTGGAATTTTCCACATCAAAATAACAAAATTACTTCACAACGCTTTACTGTGAAAAGGCTTAGCCCTAAATTAAAATACAACGGAACAAGATATTAAGTATCTAAATGCATGTGAAAATAGTATGCCGGTCATCTGGATTATGTAAAGTGAAGGCCGTCTTGACTCTATAGTGGTGACAAAGGCTGACCACGTTCTGTGTAAGCGTTATATAAGTGATACATGTAGTTAACCATATTATTGTTTGAATTTTCTAGAAAAAAAAACCTATCTGCAAGAAAGATATTTCTTATTACAGCGAATACACAGAAAAGTAAAAATATCATACTTAAAATAGAAGAATTATATTTTGTTCCGGAGAACATTTTTGTTTATGTACCATGTGCAATTGTGTTAGATAACAGAGATATTTTTCTCTACTGTCTACCATAAGATTATAGAATCAACATATTTTAACTGTTCATAATTTTTGTAAAAATATGTCATTAATTCACAGCTTTAAATCCTTTAAAGATATAAAGTTTACATTATAAAAAACAGTTTTATGCTGTAGAACTACAGTCATATTTACTTTGCTAATCAAAACGTTAAAACTAAAAGAAAAGACTAAAAAATAAATTAAATGTAAATGATATTCTGAAAAATTGAAGTCGACAGTTTTATCCAACTCTCATAGGCAAACTTCTTAGATCAGCACTTGATAGAGAAGGTAAACGTGAAAATAAAGATGTCAAGGTGGAAGATGGTCAAGCAACTGATAAAAAGACTAATGGACCAGCCAAAAAACATGCCAAGCTAAGAGCGCTGATCAGTAACAGTATGTTCAATTTCCTTAACCTGATATATACCTAACATATGTCTTTACCGCTCATTAAATTATTGTTTGTGCGAATATTGTGGTATACTTATACGTAATTAAAAAAAACAAGTTGATTAGATTTATTGTTGTTCATCGAATTGTGAAACATTAGTAATTATTACAACTGCCTAAGATATATAAATATATGTATACATTGTATTATAATTTTGCAGTGAAACAAAGGAAGTTAATGGCAAGAAATAAACAGTCACGTGGTTCAGATAAACAACACGCTGAACGTTTATCTAAACAACGCAGTCAAGTTCACCATGCGCCGACGAAAAACGAGAAACGAGGGAACGTTGTTGCTCGGCAGATCAGTAACAAAAGAGGGAAAACGGAGAGGGGAGAGATGTTTAAAAAAATGAAAACCTTTTTCTCCAGTCGAGCAGAAGCTACCGGAAATAAAGAGAAAAACAAAAGAGGTCCTGCAGAAAAACGTCAGTATGGTGACTCGATGTATGGTGACTCTTGCGGTTTGACTTGCGAAGACTGTTTTTCTATTTTCACGGCTGAGGGAACCTGTGACATTGACAACTATGATTATTACGACTACACTGGGAATTATCATGACAGCCACTACGATGATATGGGGTATGACGGCTACGATTATATGGGGTATGACGGCTACGATGATATGGGGAATGGCGGCTACTACGACTATAACGGAAATTGGGTACCCTATGACTACGGCTATACCGACGACTATTTTGGCGACACTTATTACCAATGTAGCATGAAGTTCGAGTATGGAGAATGCAGTGTAATGGATTACGGAGCACCTACCTACGACTGTTCCTGTGAAATCCCGTGTTACTATGAATTTGATGACAGTAAGACCTTTTAGCTTTTGTAAAATCAATTCACACATTCTTTTTTTATGGTACTTAATCAGAAAAGTTTACCCCCATGTATCTCAGTACTAATTAAATGTTCAAATAATTTCTCCTGTCTTCAATAGAATGAATTGATATGTATGTTATTAATTCGCGAAATACCCTAAACACCAAAAATTAAAACATATAATGACTATTTAATATAACCTCAATGCTTGTAAAATCAGATATGAGTTACAATGCAAGAGATGGAGATTGTTTGAGCCGCGTCACTACAAAACAAACATAATGGGTTTGGGACATGCGGATGCGCAGGCTGGTCTGGATCCATGCTGGTTGCAAACCCATTATGTTGGTTTTGTCGTGACGCGGCTCATTTGGTTAATATCAAGTTGTCATTACTTTGTAAATAATTTATTTAATAGTCTCTATCAATTTGTAGGTTTCGACTGGTGCGTCTTGGACCAAATGTCTGCGATGAAAGCCAATTATACAAGTTAGTTTCTTTTCCGTAATGATTTTAAACGCCTTGTTATTTTATTATTATTATTATTATTATTATTATTATTATTATTATTATTATTATTATTATTATTATTTAACTAAAACAACTTGCTAGCTTTCTCAAAATGGCTAAAGGGATTCGAATTGCACGTGATTTAAAGTAAGTGACCTAAACCTTTAGATTAAGTCAGGATATGCAAAGGCTGAACAATCAACAACAACAAACAATTAATTGTTATTCAAGGTAGGCTATCAAGTAAAATATGTTACAGTAGTATGGGTCGCCGCTCAAATGTCTTTGCTAACTTTTAGTTATATCTTTCAATATTTTAGAGTGAAAAACATATAGAACAGTCGAGGAAAGCACTGTCTGATTTCAATGTAAGGATCAGTAATATATAACTCCATTGCATCTACCGGAAGTTTGTTTATCATATTGTATCTGTATAAAGCATATCCCCATGTTGTATTGCCATTTACCTAAGGAGGTATGTTTTGTTCTGTTCTGGTCCTTCCATTCGACAACTATTTCAAACCTTTTTTTAGCAGCGGAAAGTCCCAGTACTAACAGTTCTTATTCTTCTATTTCAGTGGCTTATGGAGGATACAACTATGATGGTAAAATAGATAAAGATTGATTTGAATGTTATAATATTTCAAAACCTATTGTGTTTAGTCTATTATTAAGATTAACACCTATCTAAAGTAGCGTTTTAAATTAAATACTTCTAATCTTTAATCTAAAAATAAAGTGCATATTTAATATCAGACCACTTAGATAAAATAGGTCCGAAAGACTTTGCGCTCATCATTTATTTACTAATTTTTTGTCTTTTGTTAATCATATGTTTGATTTTTTTTTCTAAAATGCACATTATTTTTAAAAAGCAAAACAAAATCGTTAATTGGATGATTTTGGCTAAAAATGGTTTTAACCTTTTTACTTGTCTAATTTCAGAACTTGATTGTTTAATGTCGAATTTGTTCACAGGTAATCTTTGTTTTATTATATATAGTAATGATCTTCATTAATTAGATGTAGCATAAATATTTTTGTTGATGATAAAATGATTTTTTTGTCAATTTCTTAATTGTAGATCTATATATTTTGAATACAAACCTGCCGCCTTATCACCGTGGCATGATTACAAAATTTACCAATGCCTCACAATTCACCAAGTCACTGCAAGTACTGAATCTTCACAAACTTGAACATAATTTCCGTTAGCCATGGCATGGTACATGTGCAAACTCTTCACAGTGATAACCTCCCTTTACAGATTCTAATCTGTACTGATAAGGGGAGATCACTGCGTAGGTTTTCAAGGTTTATTTGAATAAGTCAGGGCCCATATGGGCATGTGACAACATAAAACAGTACATACATACAAAATAATACAAAATGGCAAATAATATGTAAAAACAAAATACTACAAAATGGCAAATTATAAATGGTCATACAACTCCATGATGTAATAAAATTACAGTAATAATTGAACGGAGTTGACTGGTAATGGAGGATGAGAGAGAAAAATCAAAAATCATTGCGAGAAAAAACAAAGAGAAAAGACATAAGTCTAACAAGCTAACATTATTTAAATAATAACATAATATTTTTGCAAAATATGGCAAGTTTCAAAAGGATATCCTTATTACTATGGTTCATTATTTTTTTCAAATTTTAAAGCACTTGGACGTTCATAGAAAAATTTATCAAGATACAGCTTTCTTGTATTAACTAAATGTGAACATTCAAAAAGATAATGGAATTCGTCGCCTGAAGAGTTACTGGTACATAGGTTACAAGTTCTAAGTTCTCTTGGAATATCATCAAACCTTCCTTTTTCAATAGGAAGTTTGTGATTCATACTTCTAAATTTAAAGAGAATTAAAGCTAAATTCATAGGTAACTTGCTGAGGTATGGCTCAAAACAAAAATCCTGTTTATAAATCCTGCAATTTAGACATTTACTGGAATTATTAATTGTACTTCTCCAATTTTGCACAAAATGATCACGCAGTCTTAAGTTGACGAAGCAGGAGAGATTGGTACATGTGTAGTGACAATCGCAACTTTTCGGCCCTTTCCGTCAGTCTTCGGATTATGAATAATAGCCGTGGATATTCCGATTGCTGTAGTCAGTCACATAAATGACTTATTTTTATCTTACGTTACAGAGATCTACGTTAGGATGGACATGTGGCTTCACTACGGTCTAGATAATTATATGAAGTAATACTAACATGAAGATGTTACACGAGAACTACCGACGGTATAATGGACAACGGTCTTTGATAGTGTTTTATTTCTACTTTTCTTTATATATAAGTAGTACTTTTTTTTTCAAAAAACAGTGAACTTGCTTTTCACCTTGAATTCAATCATAGTGATTATTGATATTCCGTCATATTATTATACTGGGGAAGAAAAGTGTATCGTATCGGACATTTCCGACAAATCCCATCAAGCCATAGATACAATCTGATCTCCTCGGCTATTATGCCATTTATCCGAAGTATACGGGAACAGCCGATGTTTTTAAACTGGTCCCCTGCGTACTACATCTTGGATGGGAAACATGATAGGACAGGGAACCAGAATACCGATGATTGTTAATGAATATGGTGTTTGGACAAGGTACGTTTGGACAATGAGGATCAATTTTGAAGCAAACATGGCAAAATTTAAAGACATGATACGAGAAAACCGGAAAATCACAAAGAAAAGCAACAAAAGAGAAACATTATTTAAATGAATATTAAGATATTAGAGGATTCTGCATTTTTAAAAAAAATCATTATATTCAAGATATTGTACGCATCATAAGAGCCATAAACAACATGTTTCCTACATCTCTGGTATAATGTAGCCGCCTAACTTTTCTCTTAGCTATCAAATAAAGTTTTTCTCCTTTTTGTTGTTGTTTCTTAATTTTTTTCGATAGTTTATCGTTTATTACAAACCTGTTGGATGACGGTGGCGTTGCTTACTTTCCGAAAACTTTGACTGACTTAATGTCTTTCATAATTATACTAAAGCAAAATGAGAGATGAGATGAATTGTAGTTTAATTTACGCTTTGTAGTACAATATATGCATGTAAATTTATTTACAATGTATTTATATTCCTTATGAAAGAGGTCAACTAAATTAACAGACCTGTCTTACGATACATCAGTTTAGTTTTACTTTTTGGTTTCTATAAATATATAAATAAATTAACAAGCATTTTAGCATTTTGAAGGATTTTGTAAATTCTAAATATGCACAGAATAAATACCTGTACCCCCAATGCGCTAATATAAATGACATAAATCAAGATATGCTATGCTCAAACTTGATATTTGAAAATATTACTTTTTTTTAAAGAAAGGACCAGCTTTACTTGGCCCGTAATAAGGAAGCAGATTCTCGTACATAGTGTGTACGTTCTTCTATTTAAATAAGACATATTCAGTAAGAATTTTATATATTTCAATAAATTTCTGCAATAAAAGTATACTAGTGATTACTAAAAACTACAACTCCGTGAGTCGGATGTGTCGCCATGTGAACAGTATAGTTGTCACTACAACATTTTCTTCTTAAATGTAGGTTATTTATAAACACTGCTAAAGGACAATAACTAAAATGAATTTGTTTGGGTCTCAGAATGTCAGAAAGGTGAAGGTTGTGAGATTATAAACCAATTTGTAAAGTGTCACCAAATTCTGTGTTATAACTATAGTAAATTGGCTATAAGACTGATTTTCAATTCAATTTTTATTTGGCTTAATCATTAAAAAAAAACAACAACAAAACATGAGTTGCCTGAACTGGGATTTGAACTCCGGACCTCTCGCTTCTAAACCGAGGGTGTAAACCCGTTATAAGATAACAGCCTGAAGAATACAAGATTATTCTTTATTAGAGTTTGTAACCCTTATTAATTTCGATATATTTTGTTTACTGTAAACCTGTTGTTTAACACTGAAAAATAATCATGGAGCTCAATATAAGCATGTATATCTATAAGAATTACACAATATTAGAAATCTTCGACCAATCGGGAACTATTTTTTTCGATACGAAAATTAATGCGCCTGTCATTTGACAATCTTTACGCAGTGATCTCCCCTTAATTTTTAGGCGTTAATGTACATATGAAGGGAAGTAACCGCTTCGAGGAGTTTGGACTAATTTCGGCATTTGCAAATAAGAACATCAGGGTCTGAAATTTCGCTACCATTATTTGTTTGGTCTGACGACCCAAACAAATAAAAATAAGAAGTGCAGAGTACCAGTTCTTGTGCACTGCACTTCTTCTTAATGAGATCTATCATCCTATGAAGATAATCAAGTCCATAGCTTTTATAGTTGAAGAGAAATGGCCCAGACAAAATTAAAGTATGAAAATTAGCAAAGGGAAATAACTCAAAAAACCATAGAGTACCAGTGTTTGTGCACTGCACTTCATCTCGATGAGTCTATCATCCTATAAAGTTTCATGTCCAAAGCTTTTATAGTTTAGGAGAAATGGCCCGGATAAAATTAAAGTATGAAAATTAACAAAGGGCAATAACTCAAAAAATAAGAAGTGCAAAGAACCGTTCCTTGTGCACTGCACTTCAGGTTATTGAAAGAAGCATGCAAACCAAGTTTGAAGTCAATCCGACTTATAGTGACTGAGTTATGCTCCGGACAAGCTTTAGGGGACGCCGACACCGATACCGCCGACAAAAGTAACTCCTATATGTCGCCTTTCAAGGCGACACAAAAAGCATAGTATATCTTTAAACAATCACGCGTTCAAGGGAGAAAACTCCTAATATTCTAATTAAAGAATCGGTGGGAAATATGAATTGGTCGACTTAAATTATCATCGGGCATAATTATGTTTCTTTAGTATTACACATTGTATGTATTTTAACGTCAAAATGCTTTGATTTTGTTAAGGTTAACGTTACTGTATAAGTGGTAAAGGTCTTAAAGTGAAATGTTGGCAATTGTACGTATCAAGTTAAAACAAAATAGCGAACATAGTAGTCGCCCCTTCAGTCCATGTGTTTAGTGAATATATCTCTTGTAAAGGCGTTACAAATCGCTAACTCAATTCTAAAGCTCAATGGAATTTCATCATGTGTTTTTCTTAGAATTATATTGCGTATATCATTGTTGTCATTGTTTCACCTTCTGTTGTGTGTCGTTCTGTTTTTTGTCACTGTTTCGTGTATTCATAACATTCAAATTTCTGTGTCGTTTTAGGTCTTGCGCCACTGTTGTTAATGTAATTATTTTATGTTATGTTGCTGATGTAGTCTGTCACCAAACTACAGAGCTTATCGAGCATTTCAATACTGAGCTTATTACTCTATTTGAGTGAGCTTTCTATTGTATGTCTTTTGAGCTAATTACTCTATCTGTATTGAGCGTATCATTGTATTCCCTTCTGAGTTTATTACTCTATCTGTATTGAGTGTATCATTGTATTCCCTTCGGAGCTAATTACTCTATCTGTATTGAGCGTATCATTGTATTCCCTTCTGAGTTTATTACTCTATCTGTATTGAGCGTATCATTGTATTCCCTACTGAGCTTATTACTCTATCTGTATTGAGCGTATCATTGTATTCCCTACTGAGCTTATAACTCTATCTGTATTGAGCGTATCATTGTATTCCCTTCTAAGCTTATTACTCTATATGTATTGAGCGTATCATTGTATTCCCTTCCGAGTTTATTACTCTATCTGTATTGAGCGTATCATTGTATTCCCTTTTGAGTTTATTACTCTATCTGTATTGAGCGTATCATTGTATTCCCTTCTGAGCTTATTACTCTATATGTATTGAGCGTATCATTGTATTCCCTTCTGAGTTTATTACTCTATCTGTATTGAGCTTATCATTGTATTCCCTTCTGAGCTTATTACTCTATCTGTATTGAGTGTATCATTGTATTCCCTTCTGAGCTTATTACTCTATCTGTATTGAGCGTATCATTGTATTCCCTTCTGAGCTTATTACTCTATCTGTATTGAGCGTATCATTGTATTCCCTTCTGAGCTAATTACTCTATCTGTATTGAGCGTATCATTGTTTTCCCTTCTGAGCTTATTACTCTATCTGTATTGAGCGTATCATTGTATTCCCTTCTGAGTTTATTACTCTATCTGTATTGAGCGTATCATTGTATTCCCTTCTGAGTTTATTACTCTATCTGTATTGAGCGTATCATTGTATTCCCTTTTGAGTTTATTACTCTATCTGTATTGAGCGTATCATTGTATTCCCTTCTGAGCTTATTACTCTATCTGTATTGAGTGTATCATTGTATTCCCTTCTGAGCTTATTACTCTATCTGTATTGAGCGTATCATTGTATTCCCTTCTGAGCTTATTACTCTATCTGTATTGAGCGTATCATTGTATTCCCTTCTGAGTTTATTACTCTATATGTATTGAGCGTATCATTGTATTCCCTTCAGAGATTGTCACTCTATCCCCCTATCCCCCCATTCCCCAATTATCACTGAACAGCTACATGTACTCAGCTTTTTACTATACTTCCATAGAGCTTCTTACTCCCTACACACCTTTTAACCTTATTGAAGTTATCAGATAAAATATATAACACTTACAATCAAGAACAAGTCAAAATGAGAATATGTATATATGCTTTTTTAATTCATCCGCCTGCTTATAAATATAGTCATTTGATCTGATCATATCAAAACAAAACAGCAAACTAATATACTTTACAGGAAACTATCAATAAAAATTAATGTATTCATTATAAGAAATAGATCTATAAAAATATACAAAGAATAACCTTATCAAATGGCATGTTAATATTTTATTTCAAATTTTAACTGAATATACAAAAAATACAGCAATTAGCTTAAAACTAATAGAATCTTATAAAAACTGTGTAGATCATATAGGACAGTACATAAAATCTAAAACAATTAAAGGCACTTACACTTTCATTGTTGAAAAGTTTGACATAATTCTGACTTTCATAACAAAATCACTTTAAATCAACATAACAAAGTCACCTTAATTTACATGTTGATCAGTGTATAAGAAGTGTATATAAAATTCTTTGAATGAGTTGTTTAGTTATCAATGTTTTCTTGTATATTTTAAGGCCAGTAATATTATCAAAAAGTTTGAAAACCTGATCAAAATATACAAGATGTTGACAACTGTGAAATTTAAAGAATAAAATACCCTTACCAGCCTTACTATCACATCATTAACATAGTTTGCTATTTATCACCACATTTTACCAGTTGGAATGCCATTAAACTAACAAGGCGGAGCACTACATGTTTATGATTACTTCTTATTTTCTGTTATTTCGAGATAAAATGAAGATCAAATACAGAAATGAAATGCAAAATCTCTGACTCAGTTTGACTACAGTCTGTTCATGAGTGACAATGAATTGTGTAACATCTCCCATATCAAATTATAACCTGCATCAAGCAGTATAAAATATGTTCATAATTATAAAATATAGTGTTCCCAGTCACCACCTGAGGGGTCACTTTCATGGTTGAAGCATAAGAATTGCAGCCACCATTTCACCCTGCATGATTGTAGGAGACAACTAAATGGGTTTGAATAATTGGAGTCTATGCATCTCTTAGCATCTCTAAGCACCAGTAAGAGAGGTGGTTTTGACCCCTGGTGTTGCTTTGAAGTTTGTAACATGCAAAGTTAGCTAAAAACCATCTTTCCTGTTTCGTCGCCATATGACCAATAATGTGTTGGTGAGCTGTAAAACCAAACAAACCAAATCAAACCTGGGTCATTGATGAGTTTACAACACATCTGTTAACTCAAAATAAATTGTCATCAAAATATTTTTAAATTTGAATGTTTACTAAATATATTGTATTATAACAGTAAAGATGTGTATATGTAACAAAATATAGCAATGCTCTAGAAACATCAGTAAAAATAAAACAACATACAAAACAACTTCATTATATGAGCCGTGTCACGACAAAACCAACAAAGAGTGTTTGCGACCAGCATGGATCCAGACCAGCATGCGCTGATCAGGATCCATGCTGTTCGCTATCAGTTTCTCTACTTGTAATAGAGTTGGTAAGCGAACAGCATGGATGCGCAGCCTGGTCTGGATCCATGCTGGTTGCAAACACACTATGTTGGTTTTGTTGTGACGCTGCTCATATGGCATAGTTATAACAAAACCTAATGGTACCTGAAACATGTAATATAAGTTACTAAACTATAACAAACTACCAAACAAAACAAGGAAAACAGTAACAGACTTTTGATACAGAGTAAACAGTAACAGACTTATGATACAGAGTAGTAACAAAAATAATGAAAACATTACTCTACAATTTACTCTTTTTACAATTTAGTATATGTACATACATATTGTACATATTGAATGATTTTCAATAAATAATTTAACTAAAACTATGTAGATTCATTTAGACTATTTATAAATTGCTACAAGTAAATCATTCAAAAATATTGGCAACATTCATGGATACTCTCTTGGTTAACTAAACAGGGTTAAATGTTGTTCTTACTGTCAAGATAATAGAAGTTAAACCTAGTTCTTCCCTCTGTGACCTTGACCCAATTCTTCCCTTGACCTTGACCCAAGCATCCTTAACCCCGATTATTTTATTTCACTAATTCTTGCAGCACCACATCATACACTACTTCAATATATCATCAAATTATAGTGTAAAAATGTTGACATTAATTTTGAAGATTCGTTTTAGTTAGACATGATGAAATAACTTGCATTTTCCCAAAATAATATACAACATGAAGACATGTTTATAACATAGCTCCATGACAAATGTTCACATGTACTTGAAACAGTCACTTTACAATTGTAATGATAATGAAGTATACACTTCAGTTTTAAATTTTAAAAATCATTTTATCCTTCTGCATGCACAAAAACAAAATTCAACAGTGAATTAATCCTTTGATATTTTTATAGTGAAACATTTCACATTATAATTTCAGTAACACAGAGATACTGTAAAAATTATATTTTGATAATTGCAACATTTTAATTCAGTCATATTTCAGTTATCATATTACAGTAACCTATGGTTGTTCACACAGATAATGTAAATATTACTTTCAAGCTCTACTGATAGAAAACGTGTATGACTCAGCAAAAAAAGCATGTGTTAACATTAATATTTTTGGTGTGTAAAAAAAAAATAAAACCAAAAAAAAATGCAGTAAAGATTTAAAAAATATCCAATGCAATAGGCATTATGTTTAAGACACTAGTAATAAATTGAGAGTGCAATGAAAAATTATTGTATAGTTTGAGGGTGCAATGAAATCTTCTTGTATAGTTTGATGGTGCAATGAAAAATTATTGTATAGTTTGAGGGTGCAATGAAAACTTCTTGTATAGTTTGAGGGTGCAATGAAAAATTCTTGCATGTCTTTTTGCTTCCATGGAGTAAATGACTTTGATAAATAGAACCACAAAATATATAAAATGAAATAAATGCCTACATTTAATGATAGAGATAACGGAACTATGGCACCAAAATATATAAGGTCCATTCAAGAACATGTTAGATAATTACCCTATATAAACATGTTATAGTAGAAAACATTTTTACATTGCATCACTAAGGTGAAACAAACAAAAAATGGTCGAATAGTTTCAGAAACTAAAACAGACATTTGTTATAAAAATATGCAACATTCTTAAAAGCTGCATGCCTCCAGACAAGCCAAAAAATATTTCAAGAAAATCAAACTTGAGAGAAAAAGTACTAAAATTTAAAGAAAAGTAAAAATTTCAAGATTAAAGTAATAATTTACAGGTTATGTGCAATTAATGACAGATATTGCTGTATTTATCACCATATTTTGTCTATGTGACTCACAGAGTAAAAGCTATTTTTGCATAATTTGTCCTCTTTTTGGTAATTTATGTGGAGTGTAATTGCTTTGTCAATGTGTAAATTACATTCTTTGATCACTTCACAATATTTTACTTTTAAATAATAATATTTTCAAAATTTTCATGAAAATAAGCATGAATCTGGAGGCATGCTGCTTTAACTTCTAGTTGTATTTAAAAAATACCTAAAAATACTACATGTAATTATGATAGATTATACATGTATAAAAAACATTACTTATCCACTTACATAAAAATATATTCTAAATCTTGCATAGCCTTTGGTAATATGCGGAGGTCTTCATATTTGCATCAAACATTACACTTCTTAAATTCACTATTTGTTTAATTCATGCAAATAAATTAATGCTCATGATTAATTAAGAAAAGGGTTAAAAAATTTCATTTCTGCAGAAAAAAAACACACAAAATAAAACATCAAAATTACAAATCTTTGTAACAAATTTCATAAAACGAACATCTACCTGATCAGCATAAAAACAAATACTTAACAAGACATGTCCCCTGATAGCACGCTCCACTTTTTACAGTGTTGGATAGTATAATAAAGACAAAGAAATGGGAGCAATTCATTGCTAAAATGCTTGAACCTGGTAACCCCCTGCTCCACTTGGAGTAAACACACTTGGTAAGAACCCACCAAATATATGAAAGTCATTAGTCCATTAGGATGTACATGTATGAGAAAGAGTTAAAAACTATTTTTAGCACCAGCAACCTTGACCCAATGACCCATTTTTTTGGGGACCACCGCAAGTATATTCCTATAAAACATAAAAGATATCTGTCTATATATAAAAGATGCATTAGCAAAATTGATAATATTTATTGCTAAAAGAAGTGAGCTCAAAATATTACAAAAAGATACTAGACAGATTAATTATTGTTGTCTTTTCTAAAAAGTTTTGACTTTTATAAAGCAGGAACTATGTTCACGAAGAGGTGTATTCAGCCCCAGTTCAAACTAGAGTTATGGTCCTTGTAAAAGTTACCTACAATTATTTTCTTGAAGCTTGTGGCAGTTTCAGGAAAAAACAAAAGTTAATAAGAAAGTTGAAATTGTAACCAAATATTATGCTTACAATGACTGTTTGTGTAGAAATGCCAAATCTTTTTTCAAATAGAAAAGTTTAAAATCAACATGAATCTTTAAAACATAAAGTTTTAATTACTTTCATATTTGTTTGTTTGTTTCATTTTACGCCTTTTTCCAACAGTATTTAAGTCATATAGGCGGGTAGTTTCCTAACCATCGTTCCTGGAGAGTCACACCAGTACTTAACTACCTTCCTCCATGCTAAACTACCAAAGCATCTCCTGGGGATCGAACCCACGCCAGAGAGGTAACTGGATTAGAAGTCATCGACTCTAACCCCTCGACCACGGAGACTTTCATATTTACTTTCTAATGATAATAAACATTATTTATTTAAAATATTCACACTATGTTGATATCAATGTTACACTGTAGTTAACGGTTCCAGTTGCCATGTACAAATGGCACCATATGCAAACAAATATTATTTCTGGCACAAAAAAAAAATCTGATCTGGCACCAACATAAAATGTGGTAAAAACCATGCTCTCTTTGGATTGATTGTAAACAACACAGTTTAACATTATATGACATTAATCATATTTATCTAGCTAGCTTTTTATTTCCCACTGACACTGTCTCAGTCATACAAAGATTTTCCAGTTATTCCACTTACAATGGTGGTGCAGGAAGAACTAAGACTTGGGTGACCTTCATACACAAGCCAGCAACGATGTAGTATCAATGCCAACTAATTTAATGACATTCTCACATTAAATACATCATCACTTAAAAGGCACACATAATAAAGCATTTTCTATACCTTTTCATATCTAGAGATGAAAGATTCAAGGTGTGTTATCTATAAAATATTTAACACAATCATAAAACAGTGTCTAAAAGCATAAAACAGTGTTTTAAAAATTATATCTGATTTGTCTTTAATAAATTGGACTTAACATGCAAAAAATGACAAAATCTTGCCAGAAATCACAGTATTAAATACTTAAATTAGGTGGCATCATCATCATCACCTGAATACAACATAAATCATTGTATCAGGAAGTCTTTGTAACTCTTCAACTTTTTCAGCTGTTTTTTGAGGTCTTTTATAAAGTCTGATGGTTGTACCACTATAGATATATCTTTTCCCACAGCCAGCAACCTCCTCTCAATCTGCAAAAAAAAACAACACTACATGTCAAAAACATTGTATATTCATTTTATATATGTATTTATGCACTTGTTCCAAAAATATCCCTACCCCCATCTCTTTAACTGAGATTATAAAAAGGTACCTAATAACGACTTAACACCAACACAAAATTAACAAAATGTACAATTTTTAATCATAAAATTTTATTCTAAAAAATTAAAGAAGAAACAAGGTAAACTGAACATTTGATTGAGCTTTGTTTACAACATGCTTAAGGAATGATACAGAAAATATGAGTTAAATGTACAGGTACTAAAAAAATAGTACATTTCTGTGTGTTTCAATATTTTTATTCAAAAGCATCTAAACGGATTTAAGTTTCTGCATCATATAATCCATTATGTTGGCTTTTAAAGTTTCAATTCTTTCAAATACCTCACCTTTAAGAGAAGTCTGAGTGTTTGACAAATAAAGAAGTTCACTCTTCTTATCTCAAAATTGAAAATAAACAAATGTTTGAATGTATGATCAATGACTATTTGAAAGAGAATGTTCTATTCTATACAATCATGTTTGTGTACTTATTCATGCACTATATATTACTAAGAATCCAATGACTTCTGGTAAATTTAACTGCAGTTAAAGAGAAAAACCTAAGATACTATGAATTCACTTAATTTGGTGGGCATGAAATTTTGCGGTTTTGTCACAAAGAACATATTCGTGGGTTAATTTGATGCGCATGAAATTTTGTGGTTATGTCACAAAGAACATATTCATGGGTTCTTAAATTTGTGGACTGTTTATATCTAAATAAAATAGAATAAAAAGTAAAATTTAAATAATGGGATACAAAATAATCTTATAGCTGACGAAATTATATTTCATTGGATCTTAAATTCACATACAGACCTATCCTTGAAAACCACAAAAATTAATATTCCAAGAATATTAATGATTTTGTAATAAATCCAACAAATTGAAGAATTTTTAAGAAAATTACCTCACTATCTTTGAAGAAGAGATTAAGTGGACGCATGTTAATTTCTGTCAGTGTCCAGTTAGACAACCCACTACTATCCATACTCATTGGTTTGTTGACCAGTCCATGTCTGTAAGCTAGCCCATGAGGGTCTATATACAATATCTGAAATATAAATCACACAGCTTTTCATTTTCGAGAGAAGAAAATCCAAATGAAAACAGTAAGCATTAAAGGAGTAAAATATAGCTTTGTTTCTTATTATCATCTGTCGCTACTTTATTTGTTTCGTTTTTACATCACACCTACACTGTAATGGTCATTTGGTGTCATTACTGCTTATATGATTGGTGCATTATTTCAGGCATGAACAGACACCTGAGTTGAACCATCAACACTCCCTAAGCTTGTTCATTGAAAGAATCCAAAGGCTCTGACAAAATTTGAACCAACAGCAGTGAGCTCAAAGGGCAACTAACTAACACCAAAATATACCATAAATCAACATGCAACAATATTTTTCAACCAAGGTAAACATGTCAAGTGTATAAACTTTCATCTATATCTTGTAAGCTGATACTATTGTGGGAAGATATTTATTTCCCTAAAAGATCATTAAAGTATGACAAAAGGCTGGATGATAGATGACCAATGATTATAAAAGATATTCATGGAAATTTTGCAGTTAGGTGAAAAGGTTTAAAAGCATATTATGTTATCAAAACAAAATTTATCAGTTCTGAATTACTTTCACTATTAATACATTTTACTATTATAACCATTATTACATAATAAATTTAGTTCAAGACTACCTCAAACTGGCATTACTATAACTAAGTAAGACAGCTAAAAAAATTAAAAAATTCTTGTCTGTCATGCTTGTTAAATACTGGAAGACATTATTATCCCATCAGTGTACCATGATTCTATAATACTAGAATGTTTTAAAGCGGAAAACTGCTATTTGATTTGAATGACAATGATATGAATGACAAAATTAATGCCTTTGAGACAAATTGTTCCAAACCATGCTGTGACAGAAAAAACATGATGATGTTACAGAAAGAACAACATATCTGTGTTGAGCTGACGACTACAATCCATACAAATAAGGAACATTTGATTCCTACTGACCTAAACTAGAAATGCCACTGTCATGGATTGAATACCCCCGCATACCACTTTGTTAGAATCAACAGTGACCATTGAGAGCTCAAAGACAACCTCCCTGCAAAATCTGAGGTTACTAAGCCAGTGCATTGCTAAGTTATGTATTCTACATGCTTCAAATGTGAAAATGTCAAAATCAATACACTGCGGACAGGCATTCTTAAGCATTTGAGCAGACAAGCTTATTATAGTAAAAATCCCTGTGACCTTGACCTTTGACACAGTCACCTAAAAATCAAAAGGGGTCATCTACTAGTCATAAACAACCTCAATACCAAATATGAAGACTGTTGACCAAAGCCTTCTTAAGCAATTGAGCGGACAAGCTTTTTTTAGTCAAGGCCCCTGTGACCTTGACCTTTGACCCAGTGACTTCAAAATCAATAGGGGTCACCTAATGGTCATGATAAACCTCCATGCCAAATATGAAGACTGTGGGTCAAAGGATTCTTAAGTTATTGGGCGGACAAGTTTTTTGAAGTCAAGACCCCTGTGACCTTGACCTTTGACCCGGTGACCTCAAAATCAATAGGGGTCATCTACTAATCCAATCTCCTACGCAGTGATCTCCCCTTATCAATACAGAGATCTCTGCAACCATGGTCCAATATATCAGAATTTCTGATATTTTATATTTTTTAGCTTTTGAATTTGATTTTCATTATTTTGTATACCTTTGATATTTTTTTGATAAACTATAATGAACTTAGGTATGAAAATTTAAAATAAAACAGAAAGAGAATAATGATGTTAGATTTTCTATGTAACGGTCGCTTTTACATTTGAATTTCAACGTTAACTCATGTGACTTTCATCATCATGTGACCTCTGCGAAAGCAGTGATTACAATCTGTAAAGGGAGGTAATCACTGTGAGGAGTTTGCTACTAATTATGACTATCCTCTATGCCAATTATGAAGACTGTGGGTCATAGGATTCTTAAGTTATTGGGTGGACAATCTTTTTGAAGTCAAGGCCCCTGTGACCTTGACCTTTGACCTCAAAATCAATAGGGGCCATCTACTAATCAAGACTAACCTCCATGCCAAATATGAAGACTGTGGGTCAAAGGATTCTTAAGTTATTGGGCGGACAAGAAAAAAAAACGACGGATGCCCGATGGCCGGCCGAACAAACTGATTCCAGTATACCCCCCTTACAACTTTGTTGTGCGGGGGTATAATAAATAGGGTGCCTCACATCCTTAATATTATATTTTGTATTCTTATTATCAAGTCTTATCAAGTCAAGAAGGAAAAATATCATGACTGTACTGACCTCAGCTGTACCACCATCTCTCTTGATACCCAGACTTTCACCTTCAGCTGACCTCTGGATAGCAAACACCTTGGCATTTGGTAGTCTTCGTATTGAGATTTCAATATTTTCAGCTAAAATAGAATAAATTATAAAATTTGATGTTATATCATACAAAATCATGACTAGTTATGATCAGTAAAAAATTGTAAACAGCCCTAATTTGGTTTTTTTACTCTCAATTCAAAATATACATTGTCAGAAATGTTTAAACTGACAAATGGAAAAAGATATTTAAAAAATCTTTTTTTATCTATCAATTTATACATACAATGTATTACCTACTAAGTTGTCAATTTGAACGTTTTCATTAACACTCTCATTTGACAGAATATGAGCCAAAATATAAAAACAAAACATAGAATACTTAGTATTTAAATAAGTACTGACTCTATACTGTAGACTTTTTAATTTGAAAGCTAGCACCAAAAGCAAATTTTCTTTTATGGTTAGATTTTATGTTGCACCAACATTCTAAAAGGCAAAATTCCAGCTTAACTGGTGGAGAAAACCTCAGGTGCCCCTTTTTGGATTATATCAGGCACAGACGGGTACCTGAATAGAACCACCGACATTCAGTCAACTAGCTTACTAGCTTAATAGCTTTCTCACATGATAAAATTCAAAGACATTGTCATGGCTGGAACCTACAACAGTGAGTGGCAAGTGGTTTGAAGTCAACAACCTAAAAAACTCGGCCACGGATACCCCATCTAAAAGTGAATAGCATAGAACAGTATGGAGCCATTCCAGCCTGTATGTAACATCCATATAGTCTGATCTGACTCTATACATGGAATGTAACAATTGATAATATTCTTATTTTGATTCCCCAGTAAATATAGGATATTCAAGTTTTTTTTAATAAATACCGTATTTATCATATTTCACTTGTGGGTACTGCCACTCATGAAATATTTATTTTCCACAAGATAAAAATAAATCCTGTTTTACAGAAAAGAAACTTGAATTTACTTGTTTAACATTACAATTTGAAAGACTTTCCCTTAAATTTTGTATATTGACAGAATTTAGAAGAAAGTAGTCAAGCAAGAAACCAGTGAAAATATGGAAAATGAAAATACGCATTTTTTCCCCATATTTATTAAAATATTTCTCAATAATTTATTTATAAGTAAATAATAAATGATTATGTTCAGTTCCAGAAACATTAAAGGCAGACAAATCCATTTTACAAACTAAGACCTCAGTTGAGTCCCTTTAAAAATCATGATAACTTGGTGCAATAAAATTGTGACTTGTTAGGTTTGTTTTATGTTTTTTTGGGCAGATTTTAATTATTGGTCATATCTCGGCAGTCAATCCAATTAACCAGCTTTCTTTCGGATAACTAACCAGTTATGAACAATTTCTCCACAACTGACAAACTATTTATCCAACAAGATTTCTGAATTAGCGGTGACAAACAAATGTCTATAAAACTCAATGTTCATGGAGAAATAATGCCACGCTCTGAGGATATGACCCACTCCCGGATTATTTGTTATGAACAATATCGAAATATACAGTCATACCTGATAATCTTCACATCTCCAGTGTTTATTCTAAGATTCGAAAAACAGGGGGGGGGGGGGGGTTTTTATCGAAAAGTGAGAATTTATTACATTTGTTGATCTTTTCCCTTCTTTGTCTATTTAAAATTTTCCCCCTTCCTCTCAAAAAATAGGGGTGAATTCTCAAAAATAGGGGTGAATCCCCCCATGGCCCCTCCTAGAATAGACACTTCATCTCATCTGCCTACCTTTTACATTCTTCACCAGTTTATGAGCAAATGAAAGATCTGTAACTTGTACATCATTGATTGAAATAAGTTGATCACCTATATGGAACTTATCATAGAGACGTGGAAATTTCTTCACATCCCAACCTGCAATCCTGTAAAAACAGAAAATATATATAATAAGTTATAAAGATCTTTTACAGGTTATATGGCCCTATATAAATGGTAAATGTTTGAATACTGACTTGGGTTAGGCCATCCTTAAAAAAATGTTTGTTTGCAGTAACGCGACCGACTCACAAAATTTGACCCTACTCAAAAGTTTTTTTCATGGTCTGGATAAAAATTTATTTTTTTTTAATCAGAAAATTATGCCTTGTGCTTTGTTTTTGTTCTTTTAAAGGTTAATAGAAGAAATGGGTCGGGTTACTGCAAACAAACATTTTTTTAAGGATGGCCTTATATTGCGAACAACCGTTTATATATCTATATGGCCATATAACATGTTGCGAATCTTTATAACAATTTTATAATAATAGAAACTTTCTTTTTAAAAGGAAACAAGAAATTTCTTCACAAATTGAGTACAGTCATATACATTGTATTTAAAACTATATTAATGTCATAATTATTCAATGAAAAGCTAATACTAATAAACACTTACCAATTTAGTGTTTGAAATTATTTATTTCTATAAAACTGTCAATTTACTAGACTGATTAAATTTAGTCTATAAAATTACCTAGTAAATGTGTTATGATTCATTTTAAAATACATGTAACTGCAATTCTATGGACAAAAAAATAATTTCAAACACAAAATTATTTATTTTTGCCATTTTATATTGCCAAAGATAAATGGTTGTTTGCAATATATTATACTGGTATGTTGACAATATTAATCCTTGACTTCTCACTTCATATTTAATTAACCACATTGCTGTTTATAATAAAATACCTGTGTGTTTATGGGCCGGAGGTCTTATTATGCAATAAAACCTGAAGTAAACTGAATATCTTACAAATAACAGTATTCTATTTATTAGCATACTAAAATATGCCTAGAAGTTTTAGTTTAAAAATCAGTACAGATTTAAACTAGAAATGTGTCCATAGGGCAGGGATAGCTCCACAAAATTCTGAACAAATCCAAAGTAGAGTTTTATTTTAGACATGTTTACATTTTGCTACTTTTATGACAAATAATTTCAGATACATCGCTACTTTCTTCATGTAACACGCAATTAATATTATCTAAAACCATTATTTAAACATTATAAAACTGTCTTTTCCAAACAAGTAAAAATCTATTAGTTTCTGAGGCATATTATTATGTGCCTTTAAGCTCTCTTGAAAATTTTATCATTCACATTGACTTATTTTCATCAATTATAACAAATACTGATGTTTACCATATTTTGCTGAAACATTCCACAAGAGCTAGACCACTGAGAAAGTGCACTTTGGATAAAACTTTCACAAGTCCGCCAGTAGATTCTATCTCGGATTTTAAAATGTCCACCTGATTCTGTTTCAAGTTCATCACAGTGACCGCTGATGACTGGTTTATGGATTGTTGGCGTGATGCCAAGTGAATAGTCTTTGGTCTCGCACCTCCTGCTAAAATAAATGAATGAATAAAAGAATTTTTAATAACTTATTCAATCATTATAGATCTTTCTATTGTTTAAGAAGACTTTGTTTAAGTAATATTTTTTATTTTTTAGAGCACAAGTAGGCTTAGAGGACTAAGAAATGGTGCATTTCACGAAAATAAAAATCTTATGTAAACAGAATGAAACGAAATTAACAAAAATAAGCGACATGAATTTTGAGAACATGAATACTTATTTCTATAACTCATACAATCTATGAGGCACAATACTCGTTTTTATAAATCATAAAATCTATTGCCCCGGTCACATATTCACGGATAATGCCACGGAAGAGCTACGGTCTAATCGTTCACGGATTACTACGGAAATGTGAAATTCCGTAGTCCGCTACGGTTCCAGTACGGACACACAACGGTATGAGTACGAAGTCCGACGGATTTACCACCAAAGTCCCCCGGAGAGACACGGATTGCTACGGACCGACACGGTTTAATACGGAGCGACACGAATCAGGACGGACGCACTACGGATACACTACGGTCTGCTACGGTATAAGCATGGGTTAGTACGAATAAGTACGGTCTGATACGGAGAAGAACGAATTGCCACGGATCTATACGGACTTAATACATCCTTCCACAACCTCTTGCTTGCTCATTTTCAAAATGCCTAAAAAAAAGAACACCTAGAAAACGAATTGCAGCGTTCAATGATTTTGGCGCTGAGGTTTCAGCCTAATCGCGTCCGAACCCCGAGACACATCAGGTCCAATTAAAGTGAATTTCTTGAAGGACGCTGGATCCTCAACAAGTTCGACCATGAGAACCTCATACTAAACATGAAGGGGTCTTCGTAAAAGCCCATCTCTAGTCCACCATCTCGTCTGTCTTCTAATACCTGATTAGATATGGACTAGTAATTATTAATGAAAAATGTTGATCAATACTGCTTCTCTTTTAATTTTAAGATTTGCTGTTTATCTTAAAATTACATTAATTATCGTGATGTTTATGTAAAAAGCTTGTTAATTAATCTTATTATCACTCAAGGGCCAGTGTCCGAGGCTTATGAGACACTTCGTTTTATGTACATATTTACTCCATTTTTACGATCCAATGTTTGTAAAATATGTAACATTAAATGTTATTCTATTTCTTATGAATTTTAGTACGATATTAATATATTTTACTTCTATGCATGTCATCAAGCAACTCGACCACTGCCTCCGCATTCTGAGCCATTTCAATATAAAGTTGCAGCCAGTAAATGGCAATTATCATTTATTAAATGTTTGTGCAAATACATATGTCTGTTTTTAACAAGAAGGTAGTATTTATACACTTGAAAAAGTGATACTTTATTCATCCGTACTAAACAGTGGTGGGCCGTACCATTCCGTACCGTTTCGCGTTGCAACGCAATAAACTGTATAAGACCGTGCTAATCCTTGCCTCTCCGTAGTACAACGTATTACGATCGTGGCTTTCCATGGCAATGCCGTATTAATCCGTATTAAACCGTAGCTTATACATAGGGTAACCGTACAAATACGTAGTTCCCCGTACCAAACCGTGGAAATCCTTGACAAGTTGGTGGACTACGAATCAGTACGGACTATTACGGTTTTCGTACGGACCAGTACGAATCAGTATGGATTAATACGGACTAGTAGGGATACGCTACGGTTGATTTTCCGTAGCAAATTTTTGTGCATGTTCAAAAATTGTCAAGGATCGCTACGGATATACAAGGACTACTACGATTGATTACGGTTTCAATACGGAGAGCTACTGACCAGTACGGGTAGCTACGGACGATGCCGGAATTAATCCGTGGCTCTTCCGTGAATATGTGACCGGGGTATATGAGTCATGGTTTTCAGCTACCTCATAATCGTTTACTTATTTCCCTTTTCCTTGTTACCTTAGATTATCATTAACATTTTAAACAAAATGAAAACTGCTGACAGATGTGTCATCTCTTTCATAAAGTTACAATTAGGAACAAGGAGGCATCCATGATTGTTAAAAAATATGATTTATATCATCACTCAAGGGAATGTGTTATAAAGAGTGAGTAAGCGGAAAAAAAATTAAGTGAACCCTCGATGCTGGGCGTAAAATGAAATGTACTATGGTAATCCCCAAATGAAGTTCACTAGCTACAAATGTACCTTCATATTTAAACACCTTAGCGTAAATGGTATGTACTGTATTAATTTTGATTTATGATGGTTTTTAAAAACAAGAGGGCCATGATGGCCCTGAGGTCGCTCACCTGTATGAAGGCCCCCGGAGCGGGGCCAGTTTAAACCCCAGGGCTTTTATTTGAACAAACTTGGAAGACACCCATAAGAACATGTTTCATGATGTACACACTTATAATGAAAAACAATGATCTGCCCTCCCCTACCCCCGACAGGGCCAATTTTAACCAAGGGCTTTTATTTGAACAAACTTGGTAGACACCCATAAGAAGATGTTTCATGCTAAACATCTAAGCTGTAGCTCATTGGGTTTTTTAAAAGAAGATTTTTTAAGTTTTTACTATACACATATAGTTAAAAACAATGACACCCCTGGGGCGGGGCCAATTTTGACCACAGGGTTTTTATTTAAACAAACTTTGTAGACACTTACTAGAACATGTTTCATGCTTAATATCTAAACTCTAGCTATTTGGGTTTTTTTCAAAGAAGATTTTTAAGTTTTTCCTATACACATATAAGGAAAATCAATGACCCCGGGGCAGGGCCAATTTTGACCCCAGGGCTTTTATTTGAACAAACTTGGTAGACACTCACTAGAAGATGTTTCATGCTTAATATCTAAACTCTAGCTATTTAGGTTTTTTCAAAGAATACTTTTTAAGTTTTTGCTATACACCTATGTAAGGAAAATCAATGACCCCCGGGGCGGGGCCAATTTTGACCCCAGGGCTTTTATTTGAACAAACTTGGTAGACACCCATTAGAACATGTTTCATGCTAAATATCTTAGCTCTAGCTCTTTGAGTTCTTTAATAGAAGATTTTTTAAGTTTTTACTATATACATATAGGGAAAATCAATGACCCCCTGGGGCGGGGCCAAATTTGACCCCAGGGCTTTTATTTGAACAAACTTGGTAGACACTCATTAGAAGATGTTTCATGCATAATATCTTAGCTCTAGCTCTTTTGGTTCTTTACAAGAAGATTTTTTAAGTTTTTACTATATGCATATAGGGAAAATCAATGACCCCCTGGGGCCAGGCCAATTTTGACCCCAGGGCTTTTATTTGAACAAACTTGGTAGACACTCACTAGAAGATGTTTCATGCCAAATATCTAAGCTCTAGCTCTTTGGGTTTTTTAAAAGAAGATATTTAAAGTTTTTTCTTTCGGTTGCCATGGCAACCAGAGTTCTGCATGGAATTAAATTCTTTGAACAATTTTTAAAGGTGACCACCAAAGGAACATTCCTGTGAAGTTTGGATGAAATTGGCATAGTGGTTTTTGAGGAGATGTCATTTAAAGTAAAAGTTTACGGATCGACGCCGGACGGCCGGACGCCGGACGAAAAGCGATCACAAAAGCTCACCCTGTCACTTTGTGACAGGTGAGCTAAAAAAAAAAAAAAAAATCCCCTATTATGCACGGCACTTGTTAATAGTAAGTTTCAAAATTGTTAGATAACTTACAAATGCTGAGAATATTATGACACTAGAAAACTGTAGAGAAGACTTAAAGATTATGTATACTGGTCAATTATAATAATAAGATAAGGAAATTAATTATGCTGAGGTAGTTAAGTAGAAAAATAGCTGTAAAAACATTCATGTTTATAAAAATTACATTTATATTATGTTTTCTGTCAAGTTTGAATTCATGTTTTATAAATAAACAACATATGAAAAAACATGAAAATAATAAAAAAAGAAATACTTCCTAAAGACCCAGCATCCATCCTTTATTTAATGAATTCCGAACTAAAACTTATTGAAACGTTAAAACATTTAAATTCATATCTAAAAATAGCCTACATTGTGTCGACATGAAAACGACAATCTTCCACTTAATATACACAATGTATCTATTCAATATATGATTTGACATCTACAAAGAGGAAGATTGAAAATGACATCACGGATATATTTTCAGGCAAAAACATTCATACATTACATCATGACTTTATAAAATTTCATGTCTCTCAGATGAGTTAACAAGGAACAGTCCATTTGAAAACAAGCATTTGATAGTATTGCGGGCAATACAGTAGTCCCCTACCGGTCCCTCAAAAAGTTCTTTAATTGTCATACACTCCTGTGTATTGCCATTTATAATGAATTTGAGGATGAAGTCTGTATTTGAAAATATCGACCACAAAACATAATAAAATAAGTTTGTTTATATCACAGTAATGTGTTAAGTTTCCATGCTTAGTAAGGAAATTATGTTTATACAACCTTGTCATATTATTACGATGTGGGATTTTAAAGTAAATCCTATAAGGAATGAAGAAGTTGGAGTGAAAATACCAGTTTCTCGAAAAAAATCTAAGTTCAAGGGGGACATAATTCTGGAAATAGTCTTGCTAGAGTATTTAACCTTCTCAAAAATGTCGAGTGATAATAAGAAACATATATATGAAGTTTGAAGTAGATACATTAGGAAATAAAGAAGTTATTTAAAAAAAGACAACATTTTTTCCCCTAAAAAATCTAAGTTAAAGGGAGGTAATATTAATATTTTTTGTGCTAGAGTTATAAACCTTGTCACATATGATGTGGTTGATGACCAGGAACTTATATTTAAAGTTTGAAGTAAACACCTTAAGAAATAAAGAACATATAGTGAAAAAGCTGAAAAATTTAAATCAGAAATCTTGAAATTCAGGCTATTTGTTGCCATAGCAACCAGAATTTTCAACATAGGAAGAAAATAAAAAGATGTGCATAATCTCCAGACTGCCATCTACCCATATTTCAAGTTTCATAAAAATATTTTCAGTACTTTTTGAGTTATCACTGGATCCAGTTTATGTGTTAAATTTGCCATATTTTCAGACTATTTGTTGCCATAGCAACCAGAATTTTCAACATAGGAAGAAAAAAAAAAGACGTGCATAATCTCCATACTGCCATCTATCCATATGTCAAGTTTCATAAAAATATTTTCAGTACTTTTTGCGTTATCGCGGGACCCAGTTTTGTGGACGGACGGACTGACGGACTGACAGACTGACAGACAGACAGACAGACAGACGGACAGACAGACGGACAGACAGACAGACGGACAGACGGACGGAGGGTAAACCTAAAGTCCCCTCCAGTTAAACCGGTAGGGGACTAATTAAGGGATATAAATATCAAAATATAACAAGAGGGCCATGATGGCCCTGAGGTCGCTCACCTGTATATAGGCCACCACCCCCCCCCCCCGCCCCCCACAACTTTGCAGGGCCAATTTTGACCCAAGGGCTTTTATTTGCACAAACTTGGTAGACACCAATAAGAAGATGTTTCATGCTAAACATCTAAGCTCTAGCTCATTGGGCTTTTTAAAAGAAGATTTTTTTTAAGTTTATACTATACACATATAGTTAAAAACAATGACACCCCTGGGGCGGGGCCAATTTTGACCCAAGGGCTTTTATTTGAACAAACTTGGTAGACACCCATTAGAACATGTTTCATGCTAAATATCTTAGCTCTAGCTCTTTGGGTACCTTAAAAGAAGACTTTTTAAGTTTTTACTATATGCATATAGGGAAAATCAATGACCCCCCGGGGCGGGGCCAATTTTGACCCCAGGGCTTTTATTTGAACAAACTTGGTAGACACCCATTAGAACATGTTTCATGCTAAATATCTTAGCTCTAGCTCTTTGGGTTTTTTAAAAGAAGACTTTAAGTTTTTACTATATGCATATAGGGAAAATCAATGACCCCCTGGGGCGGGGCCAATTTTGACCCCAGGGCTTTTATTTGAACAAACTTGGTAGACACTTATTAGAACATGTTTCATGCTAAATATCTTTGCTCTAACTCTTTGGGTTCTTTAAAAGAAGACTTTTTAAGTTTTTACTATATGCATATAGGGAAAATCAATGACCCCCTGGGGCGGGGCCAGTTTTGACCCCAGGGCTTTTATTTGAACATACTTGGTAGACACCTATTAGAACATGTTTGATGCTCAATATCTTAGCAATAGCTCTTTGAGTTCTTTAAAAGAAGATTTTTTAAGTTTTTACTATATGCATATAGGGAAAATCAATGACCCCCCGGGGCGGGGCCAATTCAATTGACCCCAGGGCTTTTATTTGAACAAACTTGGTAGACACCCATTAGAACATGTTTCATGCTAAATATCTTAGCTCTAGCTCTTTGGGTTCTTTAAAAGAAATTTTTTTTAGTTTTTACTATATGCATATAGGGAAAATCAATGACCCCCTGGGGCAGGGCCAATTTTGACCCCAGGGCTTTTATTTGAACAAACTTGGTAGACACTCACTAGAAGATGTTTCATGCCAAATATCTAAGCTCTAGCTCTTTGGGTTTTTTAAAAGAAGATATTTAAAGTTTTTTCTTTCGGTTGCCATGGCAACCAGAGTTCTGCATGGAATTAAATTCTATGAACAATTTTTAAAGGTGACCACCAAAGGAACATTCCTGTGAAGTTTGGATGAAATTGGCTTAGTGGTTTATGAGGAGATGTCATTTAAAGTAAAAGTTTACAGACGGACGACGGACGGACGGACGGCCGGACGCCGGACGAAAAGCGATCACAAAAGCTCACCCTGTCACTTTGTGACAGGTGAGCTAAAAATAAGATACGAACCATATAAGTATATAAATTGTATTTTCAGACTGCATATATACATACATTCAGGCTGGCCTAGCTTTATATTGGTTGCAAATAAGGCATGTTACTTTTAGTTCCAATAGGTAAAGAGTGACAAAAAAAAACCTAAGGCCAACCTTAAAAAAATGTTTGTTTGCAGTAACCCGACCCAGAATTTTCAAGGTGGGTAGGTAGGTCGATTTTTTTTTTTTTTTTTTTTTTTTTTATGAACTGTACTCCCAAATAAACATGGAATTTCAAAATGCTGGACAATATATGCTTTGATAATCTGGTAACAATTAATAAATTGATAACTGAATTCTAATTTAATAAGACCTACATTTTATTTCATCTATTAACCTTTAACAGAACGAAAACAAAGCACAAGGCATAATTTTCTGATTCAAAAAAAAATTTTTTTATCCAGACCATGAAAAAAAAATTTGAGTAGGGGCAAATTTTGTGAGTCGGTCGGGTTACTGCAAACAAACATTTTTTTAAGGTTGGCCTAAACAAAATTTATAATATTCTATATGCAAGATGTTAAATAAATTCATTAATATTCAAAATTCATATGACTCTATACATGTATCATCATAATTCTAGCAGAGAAAATGTTATTTTTTTGCATATTTTGACATACCTATGGTAATTTTTTTGTGCCTTGGGCTAGGAAAAACATTTATACTTGACAATACTTAAGTTTTTTAACATCTTCTTATTTTTATTAAACATGAGCACGGCAATGTGGTGTTAATGTTCATCTGTTAAAACGACCACTTTTAACAAAATTCTAAGTCAAAAAGGGGCATAACTCCAAAAATATAGCTGTCAGAATTATGTCCCTTGCTAAATTATTATAACAACTGCCGGCTTGTTATGACAAGCAAGTATTTAAAGCTTCTTATTGATACCTTTAAAATTGTTTGAGTAATGGGCTACATTAAAGTTTTTTCACTACAGAGATCATTATAGCATGACCTTTCCTTCCTGACAAGCTAAAAATGGATATACATGTACATGTAATAGAAAGAGCATCGAAACACAAGGCTATCTGATTTATACGAGGGGGTGTAGCATCTGAATATGATATTTCCATCGCAATCCGTTCTCTGTCGTCACAAAATGTAAACCCCGGACAAAATGAACCAATCAATGGGCATGCTCTGGAGTGAGGGTTACAACTAATACCTGCACTCCAGTTAACACACTGTGCATGTATATGTATACCATTTAACTCTGTCACATTTTCAACAGAATTGTCCCCAAATTATGATACAAGTAATAGAAAGAGCACCGAAACACGAGGCTATCTGATTTGTACGAGGGGGCGTAGCCCCCGAGTATAAATCAGATTGCCGAGTGTTTTGGTCTTGTTGAAATTCTCAGTATAATACTATTACTTTAATTTTATCTTTTAAGAATGGAGCAGCTATAATTTTTTAACCTGTTCCTTTTTTTGGCATGGTATAAGTGAATTTCTTTTTCTCCTAAAATCTATAGCCTGGTATGAGATAAAACCTGGTCAACATGAAGGGTCATATGTGGCTATATTCCTGATTACTTGATGGAGGAAGATGTAATTTGCCTTCTAATTTCATTAAATTGCAGCACTAGCCTTATGTTAGAAAGACATTTAGCAGCACTCCACACGAAAAAAAATTCATTTCATATTTGGTTGAGCTTTTTATGTTACACAGACACTGCAAAGGTCATAAAGTACATTTGTGCAACTTCTTTCCAGCTTTACTGGAGCAGAAAGACCTCAAGTTCTCCACTTACAAACATTTGGGGTGTGGAGCAACAATTGCCTGTAAATCTAAATACATTGTATATTTGTCAGTCCCAAACAATAAACTCCCCATATATGTCAATAAAACCTGATATACCTTGTTATGAAAAAATATTTTTTTATAGATGTCTTTAATCATGTTAAAGTTAAAAACATAAAATAAAATATTAAGTGACATTACTCTTTAAATTGCTGGAAAGAGTTACAGGCCTTTGTCTATTTGCAAACCTTTTTTCTTATATCAAACAAATTTTAGTGTTGGGAAAATTAAGACAATTTCAATAAAAGAAGACAAGAAGATTACAGTTACTTAAGTATATCAAACTTTCTTTCCCTGAAAGGGGGGGGGGGGTTATAAGTAAATAATATAAAATTATATGTATACAAAATAGAAAATACACTGAGCTGTGAAAATTTAGGAAAAATGTACGTTTAAAATATCTTAAGAAACAAAATAAGAAAAAAAACATTGTATGTATGTACAGATAACTTTTATGTTAAGATAAATCAGTCAAATCACACTAGAAGGCAATTACTGCTTCCTTTCTTAAATTGTCATATAAACATATAGGCAAAATGATAAAACTGAAAAATAGAAATTATTTCAACTTTGCATAATCTTAATCTTATAACAGAAACATTTTGAGCAGAAAAAATTGGGGGTCGCTAAGCTTGTTTCTGAGCGATCTGCCCTTAAATTTAAAATTGTTGCTATTTCACTGTAAATTTAACACTTGAAAATTTCCACCTTGTGGAGAAAGAACTTGGGCACCCCTACTCGCAGAGACTTCAAGATAACTGACACGTGTTGAAAAACAAGACATTCCATAAGTTAGCTATATAGCTTCCATAATTTGAAAGAATTTAAAATCGTAAATGAGATTACAAACCTCACTGATTTGGGGGGGAAAAAAATTACATTGCTAAAATCTAAGGAAAGTATAGAATTTCAAGAGAATCATAAAAACCTTAATACTACACTGTTAAGAATACAAAACGGAGAACAAAGTTAAAAAAGTATTATACACTTCACTAGTGCAATAAATAAATAAATAAATAATTCATCAGAAAAGATGACAAAACAGTGCCACTTTCTTACCAATAAGTCTCCCTTGTTTCTCTTTTGATGAAATAAAAGAACATCTTTTGATACTTATAAAACTCTTTCTAAACAAATCTTGCTCAAATATGAATAAATAAGAATAATTGTCAATAGGTTTTAATACAGATCAAAGTTTGTTTGATTGATTGGGTTTTATGTCACACCGACACAGTTATAATAGGTCATAATGGTGACATTACTGCTATACTGGTGGAGAAAGACTTCCATGTATTATTTCAGGCAAGAACCGGCCCCTGAGTAGAACCATTGACGTTCCATAGCCAACTGGATAGCTTCCTCATATGAGGGCCATTGTCCCTGTCAGGATTTGAACCACAGTGATGATCTCAAATCAAAATGAATACTTTTAAACACAACACAAAATTAAACAAATTTAACCACAAATAGTTGTTACTAAAAACAAACAAACTAGAAACATAACAAACAATTGGAAACAGCTAAATGCCCCCCCCCCCCCCTACCTTAAACAAGGCCCAGTAGAGGAACCATGACCTTTGACTTACACACCAAAGGCTTAGTTACTATAAAAAGTGTTACAAGAATATAGAAACATTTATATATTTTATAATACTTTCTCATATCAGAGTGCCCAATTTTTTTTCTTTAAAAGCATCTCCAAGAATGAATGACAAAGATAAAACAAGACACATTACTTTGACATTCAAGTGTAACCTTCACCTTTCTAGCTGTCAACATGGCGTTTGTGTGGTGACAATTTTTGCTAATGTGCCACAAAAGTATGACAAGGTATTTCAAAATGAATTCATGAATGACAGAATTAATGACTGGATATGACCTATTAATTTACTTTTATGAAACTATACCTCAAAAGTCTTAGTGTTATCTTGATCCTTTAAGCTACAAAGTTGTTATCTCTTATCACAAATTGTGGTAAAGGTACCATTTATTATTACAAAATATGGCATTATGTGACAAAGATCTGGACTGGACATGGCTAGTATCAATACACTATCATATTTTGATTTTTCACATTCAAGTGTGAACTTGACTTTTGGACTGCTAAACTAAGTTTTTTTACAGGTCATCTTAACAAATACATGTAGTATATCAATACAAAATTGTTGGCTGGATACGACCTTTGAGCTATGGAGCAGATTCATGTGTACAAAATATCATCATTATATCAAATAAATTTACAGATAGTAAATTTCAAAACAATCCAGGAATGACAGAATTGTTGACCCGCATGAATATAAGTTCAGTTGTATACAAATTCATATTATGACTTAGGATCTACAAATGAGACTCTTAACTTTAGAGCAAGGGACCTGATTCTTGCATGTGACACATTGTTATAATTTACAAATTCATCTAAACTCAATTTATGAATGAAAAAGTTATGGACTGGACACAAATTTGAGACAGAAGGATGTACTGAAGGATGGACGCGACAAAAACTACATGGCTCCCCATTTTGTAAAGGCATAAAAACCCAAAGTAATTCATTCCATTCAACCCTCCTGGGACTGATATTTCTTTGAAATTAAAGATATCTTGTAAAATGGTCATAATACTCCCCTATCTAAAGGTAAATTATTTAACTGACTTACCACTAGCATCTGATGAAGCTCTTAAAACAACACCCCTTCTTGGTGGAGGTGGAACAGCTGGTTTGTCATCATGATGATTCCTTGGTGGTAATGCCGGTTCTCTTGTTGAAGCACTCAAAGCTGCCTTCACACTTTGTCTTTTCTTTGGAATTGGTGGAGATCCGGGAGAGACTGATGAAGCTGCTGGACCAGGACTACGACAGGGAGACTCTGGTGAACCAGAATTTTCACGTGTCAATTTATCAGTTTTCCTGTTTCTTCTTGGTGGTGCTTTAGGTGTTTCTTCACTAAAACTGTCTTTTTCAGCAAACTTTTTTAATATAATTTTAGATGGAGGGCTGGGAATAGGCGGTCTCTTACCTTGATAGTCAGAATTAACACTTTTTGATAGATCCATAGGCTCATAGGCATCCTGATTAAATCCCTGTATTGGATCATGCATAGAAACTGAAAAGTTCTGTTTTGGTCTTGTACTATTATCCACAACAGAGGACCTTAATGGATGTTGAGCAAAATTTCTTTTTGGAAGTTCAATCGGGGATTTATCATTGTTTGGCACTGGCCCATTTTCCAATAATGACAGTTTTAATATGTCTGAATCAAGATTTGTGGGGTTCGGCTCATCACCGGGAGTTGGAAAATCAGAATATAAGTTTTCTTCGACAGAAAGCTCTGTTTGTTCATTAGAATTGCCACTACATCTTTGAGAACCATCAGAGCATTTCTGAGATCCATCTACTGGTATTGTTACAAGAAGTCGCTCTGGAAGTTCTTTCTCTTTTATTGATTTCCTATTGAATATTTTAGATAACACTCCGCCTTTTTTATGGGAATGTGTATCAGTTCCATTGTGTCTCATTTCAACATGTCCATTACACTCATCTTTGCTTTTGTTCTTGTCTGGAATAGCAACAAAAAGTTTTTCTTGTCCTTTACTACAGCAATCATCATCCTCATCATCATCACTCTTTCTCCTCCTAGAACTTGAACACTGCCATGTCGCTTCATAGACATTGTCTTGGTTTGTACCATTCACTACTCTATATCCTTCTGGTAATTTAGGCGGCCGCTTTGGTTTCTCAGCAAGAGTTTCATAAAGACCATCATCCTCACACTCTGTATTATCACAGCTGTTTGAAACAGGCTTTTTAACAGTTGTATCACTGTTGTTTTTCACCGAATGCCATTCATTGTTGTTTTTCACCGAATGCCATTCATTATTATTTAAAACAACTACTTTTTCAGCATGTGTAGCATTAGCACTGTTATTGACAAATTTTATAGCCCCTTCACCATTGTTTCTTTCAGGAAGAATCGGGGCATCCCCAAGTAATTCTAAAGTAGGACTAACGGGTCTTTGACAACTTAATGTTGGTTTCAAGTAATCCATGTTCATAGATTTACAGTTTCTTGGTTTAGGTTTAGGCATACCAGTCACTGAATCAATCCTTTGAGGGACATCAGGTGGATTGTTTGCCTGAAAATCTGGCATTCTGTTACGTAACCAGAATGAGGCTGACACAAAATCAGAATCTTCAGAAGTATCAGCCTCTTGTTGAACTGTTGACAGATTTGGAAGACTTGTACATCGATCTTCGTCATCTTCAACATCTTCATTCTTACTTATATCTTCAGCGCTTTTTCTATGAATACCCTTTTTATCCCCTTTTTCACTTTCCTCGGAATCATCAGAGTTACCCTCAGTATCTGCATGATTATTAAACTGTTCCATTTCATTCTTATCCATTTCATGATCAAATCCTTCAAAATTTCCATACATTTCCTCTCTTCTTACAGTAGAGAGGGAGGCAAACACATCTTCTTGACCGTTTGCTTTATTTCTCTTTGGTAACCTAGGTGGAGGCCGTAGAGGTAAAGTTGTTGCATCACTGTTGGCCTCATCATTGTCATCTAGACGCATGGATGTAGCATCTTGGTAATCATGATTCTTGAAACATCAAAAATAAAAGAAACGAGTTACAACATAAAAGGTAAAATATATTTAGACACATCTGATGATTACTTTGAAATATCATTAAAAAGTTTACATATATTTATCCTGAAATAATGAAAAAGTAGAGAATAAGCATGTTACATATTGTATTTATATTTATCTTGAATGTACAGAATACACTGTAACAGTACTTAAATAAAGACACCTAAACGATATACAGTAAGAAATCCTTCAGTGAGATTTTTCTTTTTAACTTGAAAAATAAAAACAAGAAACATGGCAATGCCACGAAACCAGGTTTTCAATTATCATCATTGTAGATAAATATGTTGTATTTGAAATACAAATACAAGCAACAAACAATGTAACTATGTGCAATGTAAAACATGAATAATGTAGGAGGAATTGCCACAGAAGAAGTGTTCACTAAATATTCTGTATGAGGAAGAAAAACAAAGGGCCATAATTAGGTAAAAAATTATCCAATCACAAAACCCTGACAATATGCCCCAGGGCACTTGATGACAAAGCTTCTGTGAAAGTTTAAACAGAATCCGTTGAGAAATGTAGGATGAGTTCAGCACAGAAGAATTTGTTCACTAAATATTGATAATTCTGTATAAGGAAAAAAAACAAAGGGCCGTAATTAGGTCAAATATTATCCAATCACAAAACCCAGACAATATGCGCCAGGGCACTTGATAACAAAGCTTCTGTGAAAGTTTGGTCAAAATCAGTAGAGAAATGTAGGAGAAGTTGCGCACCGTAGAAATTGTTCACTATATATTCTGGTAAGAAGAAAAAAAAGGGCCATAATTAGGTCAATTATTATCCAATCACAAAACCCCAACACAATGTGCCAGGGCACTTAATGACAAAGCTTCTGTAAAAGTTTAATCAAAATCTGTTGAGAAATGTAGGAGGAGTTGCGCACAGAAGAAATTTACTATATATTCTATATAAGGAAAAAAATCAAAGGGCCATAATTAGGTCAATTATTTTGTATGGAAATTAAATTACTACTTTGTTTACATTTTAATATATCAATGACAAATAATTTCACAATAACTGCTACTTTTTCCAAAAAATAAGCATCTTACATTTTAACACATTAGAAAACACATTTTATCCTTTCTTATGAAGGAAAGATTTTATTCATTTCTGGGGAATAATGTGCCTTTAATACAGAGACCAATGATCAATTAATCTTCAAAAGTAATATATATCTTGTTTCGAGCAGCAAATAATTGTAAAAATGTTTTGCTTTATTTTATTTTTTTAAAAATAAATATTAACTTAAAACAGTATTAACAACTGAAAATCATGTACCTCAGCCTCGTCCCCATTAGTACTGGCCTCATTTTTGGCAATTAATTGTTCCTCGAAGGCAGGTTCCAATGGAGCCGGGTCAAAGGGAGGCTCGTCATCTATATAGGAACGTGTTGGTGTGTAGCTACTCTTTACTGGAAATGCTGTATACTGATGGTCCTCTTTCAAGTTTTTACTCTAAAATAAATAAATAAATATAGCATAAATATTTTCATTACTTTTAGCAAACTCCTCACAGTGATTATCTCCCTTCGGCAGATTGTAATCACTGCCTTCACAGACGTCACATGATGATGAAAGTCACATGACCTAACATCGAAATTCAAATGTAAATATCAACCGTTACATAGAAAATCTATCGTCATTTTTTTCTTTCTATTTTATTTTTAACTTTTTTTTACCTACATTTGAGATCTCTGTACTGATAAGGGGAGATCACTGCATAGAAGATTGTACTTTTAGTTGGGTTTATATTCACAGTCCTATGAAAACTTTCCAGAACCTGATGGAAGGGGAAGACCTCAAGTACCACTTGATATATCATTTCAGCCACAAGGAAGCACTTGAGAAAATTTTCAATTTTATAAGAATTAAACACATTCTATGCCTTCTTTCTATTTTATTTTTAACTTTTTTTTACCTACATTTGAGATCATTGTACTGATAAGGGGAGATCACTGCATAGAAGATTGTACTTTTAGTTAGGTTTATATTCACAGTCCTATGAAATCTTTCCAGAACCTGATGGAAGGGGAAGACATCAAGTACCACTTGATATATCATTTCAGCCACAAGAAGGCACTTGAGAAAATTTTCAATTTTTATAAGAATTAAACACATTCTATGCCAATGACAGTCATTTTCTATACTAGCATTTTCAGCCTTATAATTAGCCATTCTTGCTGATAACAGTTACTGATTTTCAATTAATGCATCAAATTGTATTGTTTTGAACTTGAATACAGGCTTGTATTAACAGAAAACATTGGAAACAAAGAGGAAGGGTTGAAATGTTAAATATCTCTCTCTCATACCGACACTCTTACAGTATTAATGGCAACTTTTTTCAGGACACTATATATTCATAGTATGTCCACTTATAGTGAGTAGTATTTAAATTATAACATATTATATCTACTTTTTGTAAAGTCAAAACATGTTTATTCTATTTTTACAAAAAGACCTTGTAGCAATTATCAATATTTTCAAATATCAAATTTGAGCATAGTATATCATTTTAACAAAGTGTTCCTATTAACTTCCCTGTTTTATAATATAATCACTGTACATAAACTACAAGGAAGTCTCCAATTTGGGAACAAAACTATAAAATTTTGACCAGTCATGACAAAACCAACATAGTGTGTTTGCGACCAGCATGGATCCAGACTAGCCTGCGCATCCGCGCAGTCTCTGTTCGCTTTCAGTTTATCTAATTGTAATAGGGTTAATAATAGGAGAACAGCATGGATCCTGATCAGACTGCACAGGCTGGTCTGGATCCATGCTGGTCGCAAACCCATTACGTTGGTTTTGTCGTGACGCGGCTCATTAATAAAATATGAAAGCCCACTTCAGTAATCATATTGTTCTTTTTTTAAAACTGAAGACGAAATAATCATGAGAATCCCCTGAAAAAGGTATGAAAATTATTATACTTTTATGTTTCACAAAATAAACTCCACTTACAGATTACAATGCATTCATACCTTGAAAAGAGCGTTCATTTAAACTTCCAGTGTCCAGAAGATCAAGTCTACACCAGTACAAAGTTAAGGTTAACCACACTCTAACTCTCGTATACATAAATGATCGACTTCATAAAGCTACACAAATATTCCCCAAGTTTTCAATCCATCATTGTTCACAGGTCTTGCTTTAGATAAGCATATTACATACTTAAATTACTTATGAACAAAAAAACTCCACAAAAAAAAACAAACACAAACTATATTAACATAACTCACCCGCAGTCCAAGGTTCCTTAAATTTCTTTCCAAACATCTACACCACTCTAACATATGTGCCCTGTAATCAAATTAACATATTCAAACTTAATCGTTAAGTGAATACACATTTTTGCCTGATTCTGTCACATTCGCCCTGAGGCATTCATAACAGTTGTCAACACATACCTTACTGTAAATACAACCACAATTGTTTGGCCATTTATAAACATAAACATTATCTGTACTGACAATTGCACTAATTAATCAGGATGCTGACAATTTTAGACTAGATTTGCCTGTTTCAGATTAGATGTGACTGTTTCAGCCTAGATTTGCCTGTTTCAGACTACTGGTAGATGTGACTGTTTCAGACTATATTGGCCTGTTTCAGGCTAGATTTGCCTGTTTCAGACTACTGGTAGACTGGCTGTGACTGTTTCAGACTAGATGTGACTGTTTCAGATTAGATTTGCTTGTTTTATGCAGACTAGATGTGACTGTTTCAGACTAGATTTGCCTGTTTCAGAAAATATGTTACTATTTCAGATTAGATATACCTGTTTCAGACTAGATGTGACTGTTTCAGATTAGATTTGCCTGTTTCAGACTAGATGTGACTGTTTCAGATTAGATTTGCCTGTTTCAGACTAGATGTGACTGTTTCAGACTAGATGTGACTGTTTCAGATTAGATTTGCCTGTTTCAGACTAGATGTGACTGTTTCAGACTAGATGTGACTGTTTCAGACTAGATGTGACTGTTTCAGATTAGATTTGCCTGTTTCAGACTAGATGTGACTGTTTCAGACTAGATATACCAGTGTTTCAGAATAGATTTGCTTGTTTCAGACTAGATTTGACTATTTCAGACTAGATGTGACTGTTTCAGATTAGATTTGCCTGTTTCAGACTAGATGTGACTGTTTCAGACTAGATATACCAGTGTTTCAGAATAGATTTGCTTGTTTCAGACTAGATTTGACTATTTCAGACTAGATGTGACTGTTTCAGATTACATTTGCCTGTTTCAGACTAGATGTGACTGTTTCAGACTAGATGTGACTGTTTCAGATTAGATTTGCCTGTTTCAGACTAGATGTGACTGTTTCAGACTAGATATACCAGTGTTTCAGAATAGATTTGCTTGTTTCAGACTAGATTTGACTATTTCAGACTAGATGTGACTGTTTCAGACTAGATGTGACTGTTTCAGTCTAGATGTGACTGTTTCAGCACCATACAGTGATAATATAAAGTCACATTTACATGTGGCTAAATGATTATGTGGTAACAGCTCTACTCTAAATCTAGAAAATTGTGGGTCCGAGCCCAATGGTGTCGTAACCATGACACCAGAGACATGACTCAAGTGCTGTTATTAAAATTCTTTGAAAACTCATTTGAGTGATTAACTTAACCTGTTAAATTTCTTCTGCCTGAGATTAGCATTATATTCATCAAATTAATTATTATATACACTGAAATTTTTCTTTTTGTTATCTAAAAATTAAGAATGAATCGATGAGAATATTATAATATAGATATGAATTGACACAGGTCATTGAATTTAAACAGGGGTTATTGCATTGTCATAGGTTATTTGTAGGAAAACCGGAAATTTTAAGTGCACTTCCTGAAGATTTAACTGTATAGATGTTGACTTGTACATCACAACTTGAAGAGATATAGAGAATTCTCACGTATGTTCATAAGATTAAAATTCTCAGAAACTCTCAAGATTTTTAGTTTAGATTACACAGAATTTGTTTAAATTATATTTTGTAAGAAGCTTTAAGCTTACAAATATTATCATTCGATATCATTATCCAGTTAGCTCAATAAGTATAGGTGAATTTGGCGACTTTGGTTCGATTTCTGGACGATGCAGATCACTTTCTCAGTGAGTGATCATGAAATTCTTTCTAATCATAATCATTCGCACTGTACCTCTGCATTGGCATGCACAGAAGTTATCAGTTCCTCGCTAAAGTGAAGGCAACTAGTACTGGTTAACTGCTTGAAAGCCAGCCCAGGAACAATGCGGTGGCTGAACTGTACTCTGGTAAATTTAATGTGGCTTACTGCTGTGATCCAAAGTGAAAATTACCATCACCATCACCACAATATTTTCCTAGAACCAACCAGTACTTAAACCACTGAGTGTAAAGTTTCTAGCCCCCAGGAAACAACTGCTTGTCCTTTTATGAGGATTGAACCCACACAGCCATCAGTCCTTAGATCAATATTCAAGCGTGTTAACCACTTGGTTATGCCACCACTCTCATGAATCAAATACATCGTTAAGAAAAATTATCAAGATTCTATTTAAATTTACATGTTAGATATGTTTTGAATATATGTAGATGGGGGGGACTGAGTTTAAGGGGGAGCCATATTGTGTGATTATACATCAGCTGTTTGTAGCACACAAAATTCAACACATCTTATTTTAAAAGGTAAATTAGGTTAACTGTGGGTTAAAATGAAAGATTTTTTTTAATAATACGCAAGGCTATGGGAATGTTTATTTCAAAAACGAAATGCTCACAAGCAACCAACTATAGACCAAGTACAAAATCTTCATTCAAGCATCATAAATGAAAGATTCTTTAATTATAAATATCCTTGAAAACTTATAACACGCTACCTACTTCAACAGACTTTATCTGTGTTTTGAAATAACATCGGAAATAATCGGTGAGATTTCATTTCACTCTAAAATATGCTGACCTGCTTGGTGCTGTAAGTTCAATAGTCCTGTCTGCTAGAAAGATACAGAATGTATAGTTGGTGTTTGTCCGTCCCATTGTATACGAGAGATTCTGGAATGACGAGAGATTGTGTGATTCAATGGGAGGCCCCGTAAAGATACTTTCTTCTTTGTCATAGAACTCCAAAAATGGAACTCTACTCCGCACAACAAACACATACCAGCGATTTGGTTCCAGTCTCTGAAAACAAGAAAATAGAAGGTTTTCATCATTTTGAATTATTGGAACAAACTACGAACTTTCTCAAAGTATTGGCAAATGGTTGAGGAAAACTGAAACTAACTTCAAAATGGGTTAATTGTCTTAAAAAAAAAAAAAAAATGTAACTGCTGATTATTAATAGTTAAGGGTATATAATCTTGTCTTCATTGTACTCAGATGTGCTCCTCACTGGTCATTATATATTTTTCTTTTATGCTAGGTTTTTGTTCCAGACAAAAAATAGAAATGAAGCCTTTGGCAAGAGGGGGCTTTTGACTGAAGCACAGAGGAAATTAAAGTCCCTTATTCAAGCTAGATATTAAGGCATCTAGATAGACATAAGCTACTTAGATTACTAGTATATTAGTTTCCTTACACAAACGAATTTAAAGATTCAAATACAAAATGTACTTTAATTGCTGTAGCATTTTATGTGATGATGTTAATAATGATCTGCTTATATAATTATAATAGGGTCAACTAGGTCATTCATGTGTAATGTGCTCTGTAATGTTTGTTCCATTTGACAGTCTGAAGTCCCTTAAACTGATAATGGACTGTTCTAATTTCAAAGCAGGGCAAGCCCATTACCCAAATTCAGGTGTAAAATCTTAAAAATTAATTTAGACTAATTCAAGCAAAGACTACTGAATAATTCTTCAATAATTGTTTCAAAAGAAATATTTTCCCTATAAAATCATTATCTTCATAGTTTCTTTCACCACAATATTAGCAATGGAATATAAAAAAAAAGTTTTGTAGTTTCAAGATGTGATGTTATTTATCTAAACAACATACCAGTCAATAAAATGTATTGATATTTACCTCAGAGAAACTATTCAAGTTTACATTTTAATCAGTGCAAGATTTATCTTTAATCAAAAGAAGTAACAAACTTTACTGCTACCAGCAATGTTTGAATTATTAATGCTCACTGTTAAGAACTATAATCATGCTATTTGCTATAAACAGGTACTCTTTTTACTATCTTTTTTTACTATCAATTCAACAGCCCAATGATCTATAATGCATTTTGTAAACTTAGTGCAGTAATGGGTTAAATCCCATTAAATTATATAAGGGGTTAACCCAGTACTGCACTTAGGTGATGATTTGTACCTATAATCATTCTTGAAACTTTGCATCATGTACTGGGTGTTATTATTACAGGTAAAACTACCCTCATAAATGTTATAAACTTGTGGAAAAAATGTACATAAATACATGTACCACAAAAAGTTTCTAGGTACATAATGACTTTTCTTGAGTTTTCTCTGCTACATAATATGTAATAAGCAACTGTTTGTCTAAAAGATTACAACTGTTTTTTACTAAATAATTTATGTTTTATTTTCTGGCAAGAGAGGGGATGTTTTAGTCAGACATTGAATGTCACTCAGTGACTTGCCAAATTTACTGACGCTCAGATTTTTTTATCGAATTGTTCAAGTGCATATTAGTCAATACCTTCAGTAAGCCAACTTTAATCTTCAAAAAAAAAAAAATATTTATATACTGAGTTCACTTTCTTAATCATTAAAATTTTCAGATTTGAAAAGTAGAAATATATGTATGCCAAAAGTCAAAAAAATAATAAGGCATTGATGCTTGCTATCTTTTTTAAAGATAGTGAGAGGTAAAACCCCTCATGGTGATTTTACATACCGGTAACCTAATTCAATATTATACTCAAATGTTTTGGTATCTAAGGTGTGAATCAACTTTTTTATGTCGTATTTATTGAAGGAATATAGATTGGGCTGGTAATCAATGTCTTTTGGTAATATTTTGCTTACATCAACAATTATTTGTAACAACTTTACTGGATGGATGGATGGATGGATGGACGGACAGACAGACGGACGGACGGACGGACGGACGGACAGACAGACAGATGGACAAACAAATGAATGACCGAATGAAGAATGAATGAACAAAACTAAATAGATAAAGTAAATAAATAATTCAATAACAATACAAAATAAATCAGTCAATCAATCAATCAATTAATCAATCAATCAATCCCAAGTCTGCAGGCTTCAACTCCACAGGTTGACCAATCTATTGTGAAAGTACATAGTGCACAGTTGTGGAGATATATTCCCTGTCATCCTTAAATAATTTGTTTGTACAGGAGGTTTAACTTGGAGTGAAAAAAAAACACATTTGCCTTGTTCCTGATACAACTATTATTAAATTGTTATCAACTAAAGACTCAAAGCAAAAAGTGAAACAACTGCAAATACTCACTTGTTTACAGTATAATATATTATCATAATAACAGCTATGTTATAACTGTTTCAGGAAATCTTGTTGTAATGTAATTAAAATGATTCACTGTCAGTTTAAGTGATGTGTGATCTAGCTTACACAATATTGACTACATCACATCATACAAGGATACAAACAAGATTTTTCTTAAAATTTCTTAAGTTTTCAGTAGATATCAACAAATATATTCTGCTCCTTGTATATTTAATTCAGTGATGCTATCAGAATATTGATACAAAGAGATCAGTATAAAAATAGGTCTGCATTATATGATTTTATATAACAAGAGCATTTTACCCTGTGTTAAAGGCTCGTCTGTTAATGGCAGCTATTGTCAATAACCAATTTGACAAAAAATTCTAATGTAGTAAAAAGGGGCATAACTCTAAAAATATAGCTTTCAGAATTATGCCCCTTGCCTAACAACTGCATCTTGTCATGATATTTAAGCAAGTTTTCAAAGTTTCATGGTAACTTTTAAAATGTTTTAATAATGGGCTGCATTTAAGTTTTTGACAACAACAATAGCTCAACTTTTTCTTTGATTCACAGATAAGCTAATAACTTGTTTTGCACACTTGCACTAATATTGTCCTATAGTGAAACAAAATCCTAACAATTATTTTGTAGTTAATATAATAACCAGCTTATCAGCGAGCATAATAAGGAACCAGTGTTACAGTAAAGTCAAATTTCACCCTAGTTTTAAAATATGATAAACAAGATCTACAAGGAAAGGCGGCGTTCAATGAACGCAGCCCCCACCCAACCCAGTAACAAGCGTCAATGGCAAGGAGCCCAGGAGGACCCCAAACAAAAATAGGACAGGACATAAGGCAGAGCACAGGCAGGCAAACCACTACATAGGAATAAATAATTAGTAACTGATAAGGAACTAAAAGAAAACAAATAAATAATTGAATATTAGGCCCATAAAGTCAAAAGGCACATGGACATGAGACCCGGGGAAGGGGGGGGGGGGGAAAATAGCCTAGCCTAAAAAATAAGGATATAGTGTAGACATAATAAATCTCATTCTGTACACTAACTTTTTCTGTGAACAGGATGGATATCCCCTCAGATCACTAATGGTACAATGATAAAAATCCCCTCAACAAAATAATAAGGCAAATAAAAAAACCTCAGCAACAAGTTACTTCTGCTAAAATTTTTTATCTACATGTACATGCATTTTGTTTCCCTTTCATTTCCTTTATACCCGTTGTTTTCTTATTGTTTTTTGTTAATTTTTGTTCCTGGTGGTTTATATGTTCTCTCCGCACTTTTGTTGCCCTTATCTGTGATATCAGTGTGTTGCCACTGGACCACAAATTTCGCTCCTCTTTGTATAGAAAATTATCAATTTTATACCTTAAGTAGAATTTCAAGATGTCATAAAATCATAGATTATAACAAGGGCTGCCAGTGCAAACAGCATGCTTGAATAATCTAATACTAGTGAGTGCATATCACAAAAGATAAAGTAAAATAATATATTAATATTTCTAACAAGATTACTCAACAGGGGGTATAACTTGACATAAAATTATGTTTGTTGTTGGTCTAGTTTTTATGTTGATTTCAATGCATTTTTGTTCATTATCTCCCTTAGTCCACCTAACCAGATTTCCTGGATAACTAACCAGTAATTCTCAATTCCTCCTCAAGGGTAAGACTACTAATCCTATATGATTTCCGAACCAGTTGTGAGAGAGAAATAAACATAAAACAAATGATCCTATAGAAATTGTCTCTTGCAAGAAGATTAAAATGAGCAGCCCCTACATTACAAATCTAAATCGTGTGTAGAAAAACCAACATACTGTATAAGTGGATATCTATGAGTCACAAAAATTTTGCGAATGTCAAGAAGTGGATGTTTTGCTTGCGGAAATATTTGCAAAAATATGATTTCTTGAATTCAATACTGTTTTTATGATATCCTTAATTAAGTAGGTACATGTACAGAATATGCCGTTATTGTAATCGTTCTATTCAGTTGGTACCTTTATTTTTGATATAATTGTTTGAACTATCCATTGATAGTTTGTAAGGTCCTGATCACACATTTCTTTGTCATATTCTAAAACATTCTTTTGATATATGAAAAACCCCTATTGTGTTAAAAAGTTTGCCTAAAAAGAAATAATTTTTGCGCGATCAAATATTTGCGAAAAATTACCATTCTCAAAAATTGCAAATATTTCATTGTCGCAAAATTAACCACTTATACGTATCTGAAACCCCCTTTTTGGTTTAATTCCCTTGAGCACTTAAGATGTCAAACCATTCTAACATCTGCTAGGAGGAAAAATGAGTTTAACTACTTCCTAGATATCATGGACTTTTAAAACTTTCACTAACAAAAAAAAATTCCTTCAGTGGCATGTAACTTCATCCATAAAATCCTTATGTCAAAGGTGACAAAAATTGTACATATATCTTATGTCTTTTTGTGTACTCATTGGTGGTCAAGCAACCAAAAATGTACAGGAAAGTAGGGCAGGGAAATGTTCTACCATCCTCGGAAACCCAGGCTATTTACTGTATACATATATTAAATGTTGTATATACGGAATGTGTACCGTGGATTCCAACGATGTGTTCTACAGGAGGAAAGTATATAGGCAGGACGTGTATAGATTCATTTATGTATGAATACAATGAACAATATTGTATTTTGCAGTCAAAATCTGCCTAACTTGGAAACTTTTCAAACTGAAAATCAAACAATGTTTAAAGAATTATACAACTTTTAGTCATTTTATCTCCTGTACAACTGAAAGATTGATTGAGAACTGATTTAGAGTAAAGAAAACTACACAAAAAATGTAAAGAACTATATAGAATCGTATTTCATTAAAATATACTGATGTTGACAATCTAACATTTTGAAAAATCTATGTTAATGTCTCTCGTATCCTGGAATGTTAGAGTACAGCAAACATTTATATCAAAATTTGAGTATTTTTTATCTAAAAAAAAATTGAATCAAAATACCCTATGCTATCATGTTGACAATTTAACTATTCTTGGATAGTTCCATGGCTCTAGCATCTTATAATATTTCATGTATAGTAAATACATGAGAAAAATTGGTCTCTGTATCAGCAAAGGAACAGACAGACACACAAGAGCACATCTTCACCCATCAAAAGTCATAGGGGCATGAAAAAATGTATAATTTTGGAGATAATTTCTTTTTCTTACGTTTAAAGGTCCAGATCTAGGAGAATTCACTATCGGTAACTCTAGGAAAAAGTTACTAAAAGGTAACTCTGAGAGAAATTTACCAAAGGTAACTCTTGAAGAAAAGTATCTCTATGCCTTACCTGCTTAATATTTTTAGCAATTTGTTTCGAAGCAGACGGTATAATGTCTGATGTCTGTACACTCTTCTTTAAATATCCTTGCATTAGAATATTTTCTGGTGAACCAGAATGTCCATGTCCTGTTGCCATGATTACAACACTTCATCTGCAGCTATTCTGTCTTCTTTACTGTAATATACATAAAAAGATCTATTTATAATCCCATTAACTGTGAGTTTAATTTATATATATATATATAAAATAGATATAAAAATATAGAAAGGGGGTTTGGTTTATTCAGTGTGTTACTAAGGTGTTTGCCTCACTACCTTAAGGTTATAGGTTCAAACCCTGAATGGATCGCATAGAGCAACTCTTATATGGATAATGAAGTTCAATCTTTACATGGATCAAAAAGTTCAACCCCTATATGGATTATAATAATAAAGTTCAACCCCTATATGTACAATAATAAAGTTCAACCCCTATTATAGATCACATTAGGTTCTACATTTATATGGAACACAAAGTTTGGCCCCTATATGGATCGGAAAGTTTGGCCCCTATGATGGACCAAAAAGATTTATCCCTTTATGGATCAAAAAGTTTAACCCCTGTATGGATCGAAAAGTTTAACTCCCATAATTAAGGATCGAAAAGTTTGACCCTATATGGATCATAAAGTTTAACCCCTATATGGATAAAAAAGTTTAACCCCTATATGGATAACAAAGTTGAACCACTAAATGGATAACAAAGTTTAACCACTAAATAGATAACAAGGTTCAACCCCTATCACATGGATCACGATGCTCATCCACTACATGGAACGACTAATCATATTTCTTCCCGTCTCAGTTTTGTCCAGTTTGCTGTATAGTGACAAAACCAACCATTTTCTTTCTGTTAAATTTCTACTTACAATACTATCTTGCTTTATGTCCAACAACTTTTGAAACAAGAGACTTTTGGGCAAAGCTAAAGATGACTGACCCTTATGAAGATATCAAAGTTAATATTATAAAAGCCAAGGATGTTTTGTGAAGTATTATGATACATGTACAGTTTTGTAAGTTAAAGTACTTGATAATCAAGCTCTTTCTTGTATCCCAACTTATAACATTTTAGTGTAACCAATGTCAAACAAGGATAAACACTTCTAAAATACAAAAAAAACTTCCCTTAATATTAATCTTACACAAATGTTGTGTACATGTATTTGTAAATATATATATAAGATACAAAGGTTCTTTACAAAATTCTTGCATTTCTATATAAACGTTCATACAAACCCTTGAAGATTTAAAATCCTACACAGCTAATCTTGCATGCATTAACTCACTTCCTTATAGTTATACAGTACAATAAATAGCATACAAAAATTTTCAAATCCTCTGAAATGATATAATATCTGTATCAAATTTACCAAACTATTGAATGTTGTCTAAATATTAAGGTGAAATAAGAAATTTCTAAGAATATCCATGTTTTATGCACACTTTATTTGAAGGTTAATATTTAAGTTTACTATAATTGTAATACTGCAGTGATCAGTTATGAATCATCAACTTTCTACTATCTGTCCTATAGCTAGCAGGAAGTAATTGAAACGTTTATCAACATTTCCTTACCATATGTATTTTGTGCATAAATGTACAAAGGCTTTACAAATAAACATGTACAGTGTGTGCACAAAAATATGAGCCGCGTCACGACAAAACCAACATAATGTGTTTGCGACCAGCATGGATCAGGACCAGCCTGCGCATCCGCGCAGTCTGATCAAGATCCATGCTGTTCGCTTACCAACCCTATTACAAGTAGAGAAACTGATAGCGAACAGCATGGTTCCTGATCAGACTGAGCGGATGCGCAGGCTGGTCTGGATCCATGCTGGTCGCAAACGCACTATGTCGGTTTTGTCGTGACGCAGCACAAAAATATATTCATTCGGCAATTATTTGTATCAAGTATGAAAAAAGCAAAACAGCCTGTAACTCAATGAAATCAAAAAACTTATGATTTATATAAAGTTATAACATTAAGAGAATCTTTTCTGTAAAAATGTTCATCTCTATCACTCTTGATAAGGCGTAAAAAGAAATTTGTTTTGTAAGGGTCACCCTACCTGACATAAAAGTATGCCTGACCCTACCATTTTTTTAGGTCTATAGAAAAAAAAATCACACTTTGTATTGTAGAGGTATATTGGTACAGACTGGTTTTATCGCCACTGTGAGTTACAAAAACTGCCGAACGTTCGGAATTGTAAGAAACAGTTAAAAATAATGCTCTTGTGCCATCCGGAGACATTATCACTGGTTTCAATTAATGTCAACATCAGACAATTAAGGGCTCATAGCTGATTCTAAAGGACAAAACAGGACAGGAACATTTTCATCAGATTTAGATGTTTAGATCTGAACAGGATTTAAAAAGAAAAAGCCTACCCTACCAATTCCTGGAGAGCTTTTTACCCTATCAACACACTTTTTTGGGGCACCTAATTTTCCATATCATGGATCAAATGGCAAGCTTTTGAACATCAGTCCTTTGTTAATTAATGAATTTTCAGACTACACTAATTTTTTAACTAGCTGTAATTTAATTTTCAATACAAAAATCAAACACCACAACCTTAAAGCATCCTTATAATTTTACCAACCTTAGATTATTTCAAGCATGAATAATTTATCATTATGGATATTTCTTGAGTATGCATTAACCGTGAAATCTTAATCAAAGAAAAATTTTCAAATCATAGCAACAACTTCGTAACAATCAAATAATGATAAAAGCAATAACAAAACCAAGTAAAATTAAAAAATCAAAATATAGAGAAAAGAAAAAACAAGAGCTGTCCGTAAGACAGCGCGCTCGACTTTTTTATTGCTTGCCAATAAAAAAAGTTTTTGCAGTAAAAGGCAATACCCTTGAATATTACAGCAATGTTTATATGACATAATTTATGGTAAAGTGAACAAGTGGATAGGAATGAATTTTTTTAGATTTTTTAAGTTTTTTAGTGCTTGCCTATAATACAAAACATTGACAGTTAAGGGCCATAATTCAAATAAAATCTTTGACAGAATTACCTTCTCCTGGACATGTTTGGGAATCATGATTGTAAACAAGTATTCCAACTTTCAAATTAATATCTCAAACAGTTCAGTCAAAAAGTGGACTGGTACTAAAAACTTAACCAAGATTCTAAGTCGATAAAAGGCCTTAATTTTTAAAACAAATCCTTGACAGAGTTACCTTCTCTTGCGTACAGATGGGGGTAATGATGTGAAATAGCATTAAAAGTTTCAAAGCAATATCTCAAAGGTTAAGGCAATAAGTGGATTTTACCCATATTCAATGTATTTTCTAAGTCAAAAAGGGGCATAATTCTGTCAAAAACCTTGACAGAGTTATGTCCTCTTGTCTGTTGATGAAGGTCGTGATGGTAAACAAGTATGGTCAGTTTCAAAGCAATACCTCCAATGGTTTTGAAATAAAGTGAGGTGGTACAAAAAACTTAACCAAGCTCAATACACTTTCTAAGTCAAAAAAGGGCCATAATTCTGTCAAAAACCTTGACAGAGTTATGTACTCTTGTCTGTAGATGGAGGTTATGATGGTGAACAAGTATGGTAAGTTTCAAAGCCATACTTGTAATACTTCTGAAATAAAGTGGGGTGGTACGAAAAACTTAACCAAGGTGTGACGCCAACGCCGACGCCGACGCGAGTAGGATAGCTCCCCTTTTCATAGAAAAGTCGAGCTAAAAAACAGCCGATGAAGTTTGATGATTATGTATTTTTATTTTTGCATTATGTATCAATATATTGTATATAGTCTGACACTTGTCAACTTACATGTACATAATGTACCAGTCACATCCATCAATTGAAATACAAAAAACAGCAATACAGTACATTGGTGTGAAAACATTAATACTTACAAAACCATAAACTATTTGACCTGTATGACATCCGTAATTAGCTACTTATATTTTACTGTCTAGGTTACTAATGCCTTGTAAAATAACTAGTGTAAACTAACAATATTGACAGTGAACAAAAGAACTTCTCTTCCAAATAATTTTTTTTCTTTAAGCAATAAATCAGGGGCCACAACTCATGCTTCAATAAGATGACACATCACTTGGAGATATTAAAGTGTGCACTATTGACAAAATTGAAATTAAAGTTTGTACAACCTAGCTATGAAATAACATTCCTTACAACATCATAGACTGGTAAGTTAAACATACCTGGTAATCAGTTCAAAATATAAGCAAGACTGTCCAATAAACCAAGAGTCCCAGATGCAGGGAAAGCACAAGTATGGGCCTAGTTTTCTTGTCTGGGCCCTGGGAATGATACATGTACATGTTTTTACAAGAAAATGTTTGAATGGTCATTGACTGTATGACTAATGGTAACATAATCCACTGCTCTTTCATGTGGAGAAGTTGTCAGATACTTGTGGAACATCAGGTCAGTAATGGAACATAATTCACAAATATTTATCAGGTATATAACAAGCAATTAAAACAGAAAAATGAAGACTGAGCAAATTGTCATCTGACTTGACCAATATCATGTTTTAAAATTGCTATCACATGCTCTGATAAACCCTTTTGGAATGCTAATAATGGTAATAAAATAACATTCTTTATTGACAATAGTTGAGTAGGGTTGGCAACACTCAAGTGACTGCTGGTAAGACAGTACAAACCTCCAAAAATTAGCAAAATTTAAACATCATCCAAACCAAGTTGTGTCCCAGTAATTTGATATCTTTAAAATAAATACAAGCTGGACAATTAAACACTGCAATCATTTTTGGTGCCAAACCTTTAAAATGGATGATATGCATGTACAGTGAAACTGCAATTATCAAAATAACATTGTCCAAAGCACTTTTTCATGACCATAACCATTCAATTTCATTTTTTGAGATAACAAAATGAAAATAAATTAATATAAAATAAATACTCAATTTCTTTTATCTTTATTCTTAAAATCGCACAACATAGCTAAATTCAATTTTCACAAGAGATCAATAATTAATGGCTTCACCTGGTGACACAGCTGTGAGATTATTTTTGTCATTATGTTAGGAATGACCTCACTGATCATTTGATGATAAAAAGTAATTAAAAAACTGGAGGAATCTGAATCCTTTCACTATAATCTTATACTTTAGTGCCCCAACAACAGTGACAGGTTATTGTGGGGGATGCGTTTTGTTTCTTTAACCTTGATCTCCCTTGTACGAGGGTTGTTCGGAAAGTTTTGAGACAATATGATTTTCTCTGTTTCTAATTACAGCTGCGAATATTATTTAATACAAATTATAGCTTAATATGTTATTTATCCGAGTTATGTCTTTAAAACGTTGTAACGTTACTATACGGCATATAATCGTTTCCATAGCAACACCTGTCTACGCATCCTGGCGCACGGACTATTTTCTTGTTATAAGTTTTCTTACTGAATAAAAAGAGCCCCTGAAATTGCGCCAAACGTCACGAAAATTTTATGACGTCACTTCCAACTTAAGGACGTAATTTCCGCTAGTTGTTTAAGCCGTTACCGCAGATCATTATAGCAATACGTGCGCGACAAGACAACCACTATGGAAACACCGTCAAAAGAGGAACAGCGTGTTTTTATTAAGTTTTGCGTTAATCTTTGGAAAACGCCAACAGAAACTAAGCAACTTCTAGAACAGGCAAACAACGGACGTACTGTTAGTCGACCATTGGTATTTAGATGGCATAAAGAGTTCTCGGGTTTAACCGCATCGCTCACCCACCCCACTCACCCTACCTGGCCCCAATGGACTTTTCCGTTTTTCTGGCCATCAAATCCGAACTACGAGGAATCCGGTTTTGAGGACCCTAGTTGAACTGTGCTCTAGAGTTATGAGCATTATTGTAACATTTAAAATCTGACTGTATAAGAAATGTATTCGCTCATGTGGGTTACGAGGCATGAGAAATGTGTACGTTGTGAAGGAAGATACTTTGAAAAGGAGTAGCAGTTGAACTTTTCTACGGTGACGTTAAACTCTGGAAATAACGGCAAAAGTCGGATAACGTCGTTGCGTGCGCCGGGTCACCGGTAGTGTCTGTGTCTAACGCTTTGTAGCTTTTGTATACATGAAGCTATTGTTATGAAATTTTACACTATAATAGATTAGGTATTAAAGTAATACATAGTAAACTCTTGTTTGATTTTATCTTTTCCAACGCTAAATATTGACCCAGTCTCAAAACTTTCCGAACAACCCTCGTAATTTCATATTTGATAGTGATACCAAATAAAATACATAAAATAAAAATAAATACATTCTATTTATTTATCTTGTTTTAACACAGATTTTTCTCAACATCAGTCCGCCTAAATGGCTCTCCTAGATAACAAACTAGTAATTACCAATTTCTCCTAAGTGACCAAGTATGTACATTGTTAGTTTGTTTGATGATTTTTACACATTTTTGGTCATTCCCAAACCAAAATGCATGCCTGCGACAAGCTTGCCGCAAGCTTGTCACAAGCTTGCCGCAAGCTTACAGCTTAAATACAAGGTTGCTGCATGCTTGCAACAAGCTTG